GTGCGACAATCCTGTTTAAAATGATCCAAGATGTGCAAAAAGTACTTTGTACTCCCAATGTATATTCATCTTGAATGAATGTGACTGCTTTTTCATATTGTTGTGAATAAAATTACTTGAATAAACATGAATCAGATATATTTCACGAAGCTACTGGTGCTGGTGTCAATGTTGGCAGTTTTGATTATGTGGATTTTCAAAAAGAGTACTTTCATTTTTCATCACAAGCGTCTCCAGAGGTTTGAAGCCGTGTTCTATATCAAAAAACAAACCAAACTAATAGGGCTTCAAATGTAACATAGCACTGGAATTGCATTTCATTTTATTTCCCCTTGTAATCCTTGTTTGAGAGCATTTCCATTGTTGATCATGATGTGAACCATCTCAGAATGGGAGTCTCATCTCCCTGACCAATTTTCCACAACAGTTCAATCAAACACAATTTCTCAGAAAAGTTTGACCATGAGATCTTATGCCTCCTCTCAGGCCAAGTGCTATATTTTGTTTTATACTGCCTTTGTGAAGCTCCACAGGATGTTTATTACATTCAAGCTGTTGTTGGTAAAGGCCATTTGAAGGTTCATTGCTGTTTTGTACGTCTGATTCTAATATTGGAAAACTGTTGTTACATTTGGAGAATTTGACAGGATAATAGTTTTACTAAACGGACAAGACTGTGGTTAATCGTGTAGTTAATTGTCCTTACGCAATAGTTGCACAGCATGGTATGGATAACTCATAACAGTTTATAGCTTGTGCATATACCTAGCATAGACAATGGGATAGAACTAGATGTAAATGCAGTGTCATTTTAAGTGAGTTCTATCACATTAATTGGGCAGAATTTACTGCCCTCCCCTAACATAAATTTGGTTGCAGATTGGGGGGGACATTTAATCAGGCAGGAGAATGGTGGGTGGAAGCACTGCTGTTTTCCTACTCCTGTCCTGATCATGTCTGGAGTAGGAAGGCACCACATCGCCAACTCAGACTCCTTCAGTGGGCAATTAAGACTCATGCCGCCAATCCTGCTGATATTCAACCAATGATAGACAGGAGGACGCATCATGTGTGGAGACTGAACAGCAAACCTGTTGGGGCATTGGAGGGATTTGCTGTCTTGCCCAGTATAACTGATCGAGGGACCCAGCATCAGGAAGGCGTGTGGGGCATAAACAATTATGATCCCCCATTCACCCCTGCAACAACCCATTCTGCCCTCACTCATCAGTGGCCTAGCTGGGCCCATTGATAATCCTGAGTCTTGGGTTGGTGCCCTACAGATAGCAGCTCCCATCTCCTTACTGAGGGTAGTCAGCAACACTCACTTTGTCAAACCTCTTCCTGATTTTGAAACCCCTTATCAGATTTCCCCTGAATCTTTCGTATGCCAAGGAGCACCTCAGCTTCTCCCATCTCTCCACATAACTGAAGTGCTTCAATTTTGACAAAGTGATGTAATGTAATGAGATATAGTCCATCACCATGTTAATGTGTTGGAAGCAGTTCAGACAGCGTTTTGAGATTAATACCTGGAATGAGCAGATTACCATATGAGGAAAGGCTAGACATGCTAGGCCTACATCTGCTGGAGTTTGGAAGAGTCAGGGATGACTTAATTGGATGGTCCATGGCTCAGTGGTTAGCACTGCAAATTCATAGTACTAGGGACCTGCGTTCCATTCCAACCTCAGGTGACTGTGTGGAGTTTGCACATTCTCCCCGTGCCTGGGTGGGTTTCCATTGTGTGCTCCAGTTTCCTTCATTTTTAAATTGTGTACGTTAGTTCTGAATTGGCTCACGAGTAATACCAGCACTTTGTCACACAACCGTATATTTGCATAAATTTCAGTAAGAACAACTCTCATTTGTCTGAACTCCAATCTTGTCTCAAAAGCAATCCCTTCATCCCAGGATCAACCTGGCAAAACGTCTCTGAACTGTCTTCAATGGAAGTATACCCCTCCTAATGTAAGGAGACAAAAAACTACAGCCACTATCCAGCTGTGGGTGGACTAAAGTGGTGGATGGTGGGAACTGCGATGCTCAGTGGGAGAGAGTCACACCCCTGCAGCTGATGAACAATCTTCTACTTTCTTCCGCCCTCTTCCATCAGGCAGAAGATATAAAAATTTGAATACACGTTCAAACAAATTCAAGAACAGCTTCCTCCCTGCTGTCATCAGACTTTGGAATGGACCTCTCAAATGTTAATTCTTATCTCTGTCTCTCTTTGCACCTTCTGTAACACTGTATTCTGCACACTGTTCTGCTATACGGATGCACTTTGTATGGTACAATCTGCCTGTATAGCATGCAAAACACCACTTTTCACTGTCTCTCAGTACAAACAACAACAATAAATCAAACAATCAATCCATCTAGTGTATTATAGTGGTTAACTCAGTGGTGGATGGGACAGTATTGGGCTGGTTGTTCGGGCTATTATATGTGCCACTCCTGCCAAAAAACACCAAGTTGTGTGCATTCCAATACAATGCTGCATAGGAAAGATCCAGCTGTTCAGAACTTCAGCATGTAATAGAATTGCTCTGCCCATTTAAGCTGAGTTCTTCCTGGGATTGGCCAAACTGGGACAAATGCTACAACTGTCTTGCAGAATTGCTCCTTTAACCCTCTCTCCTCAGCTGCTCTGAGCTTATTCTGTCATGTGGAGACCTCATTAAAATTTGTCAATTTCACATCTTTTTCCACAGAGGAACAGGGGAAAGGGTATCCATGACCATGCTGGAGGTGCTGGTAGATGGCAGTCAAAGCTGCAGATGATGGTCAGTGTGAGACAATATGAGGAAGCTAACTGCAATTACAAATAAAGTGAAGGACAGAGGGACGTGGGAGGTGTTCAATCAGAAAGGTGGGAGTGCTTTGATCTTTTTGGGGTTCGTGATGAAATTCCAGTTATCAGTTCAAGTGTCCTCAGGTTTGGAAATCTGCCATTTTTATCCAGCCTGGCCCACACATGACTCAGAAAAATATATTTGACTCTTTAATCCTGCTTGAAATGGCCCAGTAAAAACTACACAGCTGTAGTTAAGATGGCAGTTCCTTCCGTTACCTTCTTGAGGACAATTTGAATTGGGCAATAAATGCTGGCTTTGTTCTGTCTTGCAGTGTTTGTCTGAGATTAATAAAATTCTGAAGCTTAAAGATATCTTAAACTTTCAGCACAGGGTTCACACTGCAATCAGAGTTCACCAATAATGCATTCCTGAAAGTATGTGTTCCACACTTGGGTTAGAAGTTAGAAACACAGAATACAGGATCAAGAGTGGGTCATTTGGGCCTTTTGAGCCTGCTTCACTATTCTCAATAATCATGGCTGATCATTCAACTCAGTACCCTGTTCCCTCTTTTTCCTTGTATCATGTTATCCCTTTAATCCTAAGATTAATATCTAGATCTTTCTTGAATTGGCCTCAGCAGTTCATTTGTGGCAGAGAATTCCAGAGTCTCACCACTCTCTGAGTGAAGAAAATTCTGCTCATCTATGTCCTAAAAAGCCTATCCAATATCCTTAATTTGTGACCCCTAGTTCTGGACTCTCCTGTCATTGGGAACATCCTCCTGTGTTTAACCTATCTAGCCTTGTTAGAATTTTATATGTTTCTATGGGATAGTAGCAGCATGGTGGTTCAGTGGTTAGCACTGCTGCCTCACAGCACCAGGGAGTGGGGTTCGATTCTACCCTTGGCTGACTGTATGCGTATAGTTTGCACGTTCCCCTGTAGGCTGCCTCCAGATTTTCTGGTTTCCTCCCACAATCCAAGGATATGCAGGTTAGATGGATTGGCCACACTAAATTGCCATTGTATCCAGAGCCATGAAGTTAGGTGGATTAGCCATGGGAAATGCACGTTTACAAGGGTGGTCTGGGTGAATTCTGAAGAAGCATCACTTGACCTGAAAAATTACCTGATTTCTCTCCACAGACGCTGCCAGACCTGCTGATCGTTTCCAGTAATTTCTATTTTTGGGTCTGGGTGGGATGTTCTTCACAGGGTCAGTATGGACTTGATGGGCCAAGTGGCCTGCTTCCACACTGTCGAGATTGTATGAGATTCCTGCGCCCCACCCCCTCCCCTCCCCTCCCCTCCCCTCCCGCTTTCTTCTAAACTGCAGTGAATTTAGTCGTAACCTATCCAGTCTTTCTTTGTAATATCAACCTGGTAAACCTTTTGTTGCAGTCCCTCAATAGCCAGAACATCCTTCCTCAGATAGGTAGACCAAAACTATTTCAGGAAGAACTGCTGATGCTGGAGTAAGAGATAACACAGCGTGGAGTTGGAGGAATACAGCAGGCCAGGCAGCATCATAGGAACAGGAAAGTTGACGTTTCGGGTCGGGTCGGCTCGGCTCCACGCTATACTATTCGAGGTGTGGTTTTACCAAAGCCCTGTTACAAGTTGCCGCAAGGCATCCTTGCTCCCGTTGTATATTCGTAAGTGATGAGAGGTTATACATGTTTGTATCCACCCGAAGCACCTTCAGTCAGTCAAACGTCCTAAAACACAGGCTGGGCTCCCTTAAAGAGTTTTAACCAGTTTTCCATGTCTCATAATTCAGTCCAGAATTGACCCTCAGTTCTCAGAGGATAATCAATACTTAAATTTATTCAATTAAGAACTGAGTCTCAACATCTTATCCCGGGCGGTTGAAGTTCAGCGCTGAACCCGAGCTTGGTATAGCTACAAGGAAACAGGTTGTTACATTTTAAACTAATGAATATTGTGACCGGTAAAGTGGCAATTGTATTGATCTGGAAGCTTGTCATTCATTCAATCATTCACTCATGCAGGCAGGATTGGACAGTAAATTTCCTATACAGTAATCATTGCCGACACTTTCCAAGCTCCGCTAGCCCTTTAAGGGATGGTCCCTTTAATATCTCCACCCTCAGTTTGTTACGTCCCAGTTCTCAGTGGTTTGAAACGTACAATTCAGGACAGGGATTGGCTCAGGCTTCATACTCTTACCCAGTTCCGTTGAGATTGGTTCCGCTGACAGTTCCGCCATTCTGTCAAAACCGGATCCAGCTACTGAGACTTTCACTACACGAAGACAGCCACAGGATTCAATGCTGGAATTGTTTAAGAACAGTCACAGCAGATTGTGAGCTTCAGTGACATTTCCAATCTTGCTGCGTGGATGAGTTGAGGTAACAGTTTTACTATTGATCAGATTTGACATCGCCATTACTTGTATGGGATATAGTACCATTTCCAGTATAGCTCATTGGGAGACATTAGCATTTCCAATACTATTGAGCCTGTACACATTTTTAATATTGATCAGACTGAGTGACATCTCCAATATGACGGAGATACAGTAACATTTCCAGTGTTGCTCCAGTGTTTGCCTTTTGAAATGTGTCACCTCTAAATAAACTGCTTCCACATCCTGGTTTCCATATTTAAGCCTGACTTAAGGTTGCCCCTCTCTGTTGTGTTAATACTAACTATCAAAGCCATTCCTTCTTTTCCACATTCCTGTCCTTTCAAAATGTCCTGTACCCTTCAAGATTCAGGTCCCAAACCTGTGTCATCTTACAGTCACATCTTTATATGGTTATCAGATGGGACTTACTTATTTCCCAGTTCACCTGTTTTGTTTCAATGCGACATGCATTCAGATACAGACTTATGTTTTTTAAACATTATTTCTTTAGTAAATTCATGTTTTATCTGTTAGTTGGCTCTTCAGTTCATATTCTGTATGCTTTTCTATCATGGTCTTTTTATCATTTGTTATTTTAATACTTGTTTCTTTGGTCTTGACTCTACTCACTGATTTACCACCTCTTCCCAAATTTGATCTCTTGCTTCATTATTCAGTTTAAAATCCTCTCTACTTCCTTAGTTATGTAGTTGGTAAGAACATTGGCTCCAACACAGTTCAGGTGGAGATTGTACAGATCCCACCTTTCAGCACTGTTGGTGCCAGTGTCCATGAACTGGAACCCGCTTCTCCCGCACCAGTCATTCATCCATGCCTTCATCTGTCTCACCTTGTTTACCCTCTTGCAATTTGCACATGGTTCAGGCAGAGATTATAACCTTTTGAGGTTCTGCTTCTTAAATGTGGCACCTGGCTCCTCATTACTAGCAGTGTAGAACCTCTTTTGACCAGCCATGTTGTTGATCCCCACATGGATCACAGCAATTAGATCCTTACCCTTCCACTGTGAGTTTGTCTCCAGCTTGGAGCACTTATCCCACACCCTGGCCCTGGGTGCAATGCAGGTGTCTGGACCCCTGGCTTTGCTGCAGAGAACAATGTCAAGCCTACCCACCACCCCATCTCGCTCACAAAGCCCTCCTTACTATCACTACACTCTCTTTTGTTTTTCCTCCCTCTTTGAATGGCTTTCTGTACCATGGTGCCATAGTCAGTTAGCTCATTTACTCTGCAGCCATCACTCTTATCCAGAACAAGCTGAAAGAACCTCAAATATGTTAGGCATTTGCAAGGACTGAGGCTCCCACCTTCTGGGTTCCCTTCCTTGCCTCTCTCACAGTTACACTCTCCTATCCCACAACACTGACTAAATCAGACCCCAATCTAAAGATGTGTAACTGCCTCCTGGTACAAAGCATCCATGTAAAATTCCCCATCCCAACTCATTGCAGTATCAGTAATTCAGCTTCTAGTTCATTAACTTAGAACTGAAACTGCTCACAGTTCAAACACTTACGGTAGCAAATTTTTGCCCTGGACCAAACTGATGGCCAGGAGCTCCCACATGCTACAGCTGTGTCACATCACCCATTTTGCCATCCTATTGTGTTCTAATGAATGGCTTTGTCATTTTATTCAACTTCATGATGACTTACTTTTTAATATATTTTATCCACCTTCCCACTCATCGTTATATTATGTTGAATTTTAGGAATGGAATAAACCTTAGTCACTGACTGGATACCTAATATCTAACTTTTCCTCCTGTTCAGAGTAAGAACCAATTCCAGGAGTCTGAAACAAATTAGAAAGAGTAAATGCAATGGAGAATCTCTTCTCTCTCAGCCCCTTCCTTCTTTAAACATCTAACTTCAGCACTCTATTGGCTGTTGCATTCAAGTGTTAAGTGGTACTAATTTGGCTAGTTTCATCTGCTTCTAACAGAAAAAGCCTAACTGACCCACTTATAGAGGAACTGGTTTTAGCTGTTTTCTCTTAATTAAGCACAACTACTTTTCCAATGGAGGCCTTGTTGAAAGTCCTGCTTAAGCTCGGGAAAGTCAAATTTTCAATTGAAGATCTCAGTTGAATGCTAAATACAAACAAAGTGAGATTTGTTCAGAAACAAAACTTGCCATTCTAGTCTTCAGATTGCACAGTGTGGAGCTGGAGGAACACGGCAGGCCAGGCAGCATCAGACCCGAAATGCCAGATACCCTGTTCCTCTGATGCTACCTGGCCAGTTGTGTCCCTCCAACTTCACACTGTGTTATCTCTGACTCCAGCATCTGCAGTTCTTGCTGTCTCATTGTAGTCTTCAGTACCAGTGGCAGTTACGTTTCCATTATCAAATGTTGTGAGTTGCTGTAATTTTTACAATGTCGATATTGCTTAATGTGAGTTTCAGGAATGTTTCCATCCTATTCCTCAGCTTTTGAGTTGCACTGTTTATTCCCTCCTGTTAAAATTTTACTGTTGGGGTGTACGTTTGTTGATCTCTGAATGTTTTTGTGCTTTTTAGGTGATGTTGGCTGAGCTGGGCAACAGTTCTACCCCCAGCGTTAGCTTCGAAGGTGATGCAGAGGAAAGGGACAAATCTGTACTTGTCTCCCTTCTGGAGCAGCTCACAAATTCCACCGTCTTGTGTCCTGTGTTTCTCGACACCCCTGAACTTGTGGTTGTTGTGTCCATCCAGCGATACCTGAGAGACCCTGGGAATGAGGAGGGGTCCCAATCAGCTTCCGGCTACTTTTTCGATGTGACGGTGACTGATCAGATTTCTCAGGTGAAGTGCCACTTGGCTCCTGTCCTGAACTCCCTGGTTCACTGGAACTGCCTGAGAGTGGGCCGTGGGATTCACCTCACACGCTGCAGCCTGGTGCATGATGAGAAGAGGCTGAACCGATGCTTCCTGCAGATTGAGGCGCTGGAGCTGGTGGCTGCAGAATGCAATCCCAGTTTGAGTATCCCTTCCCCGAGCATCGAGCCCCTCCGCAGCTTGACTACATCCCAGAGGGGGAGGGATCTTCTGAGGACTTTGCAGATGGAAACCCCCTTGAAAGGGGGACGGCTTCATTATTTACCCTTGTGGAATAACAATGACCCGTATGGCAGAGAATGGGCTGGCCCCAAGACACCGCCATTTCCAAATGTCCCTCTTGAAGGTGAGCTCTCTTTCAATTTTAAGTTACACTGTATTGTCAAGTATATTGTTATTTATCTAAATTAAAGTTGTCATAGTCCTACCAGACGAGAGGGCTCCTCTCCCATTAGAGAGACAACTGCTGGTGGTTTAACCTGAGGGTTGCCACACCTCAGACGAGGGTCAAAATTGAGAATGAGAGTCCTTCACGTTTACCTCACCAGTGCAGGAATTGAGCCCATGCTGTTACATCACTCAGCATTGCAAACCAGCTGTCTAGCCAACCGAGCTAACCAACCCGCTATTGTTTATATAATCGAGAAGTGAGTGGAGATTTCCTGTTTTTGAATGCTGTCAGTCTGTGTGCACCAGGATGTGACAAAAGTGACACTACTGAGGTTTCACATGAACAGGCTCCTGTATCTATTGTGTCTAATGTGGTATTATAATGTCAGAACATTGTTTTACCCATCTGCTCTAAACAATAGCTGTAACATAGTAACCAAAACACCAACACGTATCATTCAAGCATTTACTATTTTACATTGCTTTTAGAAGTTTGTAATGTGTATCTCCGTAAATAAAAGTTGACAGGGATTGTAATGATTGGCTGTTTGTCCTTACAGACTGACGTTCTGGAGTAGAGTAATTGGCCTTTCTCAAGCCCAAAGTGAATGATCTTTTGCATTTTTTTAATCACTCATGGGATGTGAGTGTTGCTGGCTGGGCCAGCATTTATCGCCCATCTCTAGTTGCCATTGAGAAGGTGGACCTTTGGCAAATTTCTGCAGTACATCTTGTAGGTAGGACACACTGCTGCTACTGAGCTTTGGTGGTGGAGGGAGTGGGTGCTTGTGGATGTGGTGCCAATCAAGCGGGCTGCTTTGTCCTGGATGGTGTCAAGGCTCTTGAGTGTTGTTGGGGCTGCACCCATCCAGGCAAGTGGGGAATATTCCACCACACTCCTGACTATTGCCTTCTTTCTTTTGAACTCCATCTCTGCTCATTCACTTTGTCTTATATCCCTAGGTAGCTTCATGTTCACATCTATGCAACATACAGTGACTCCAAAGTCAGTGTCATTGATGAAATGGGATATGCTTCATCCTTAATGCAAGTCATTAATGTCAGTGATCAAGAGCTGAGGTCTCATTACAGACCCCTGGGTGACATCACTTGACACAAAGTGGCAATTAGAGAACAGACCCTTTGCCGTGACTTTGTGTCCCTTACCTCTGCGCAAATTACTGACACTTGTTACAAGGTTACCTCCAGTTCTCTGTGTACTGATTCTTTACTCACCATCTTTTCTCAAGTGCCGTCTGCAAATCAATATAGACACAGTACAAAGACATTTCCCCATCCATCACGATAGACACTTTGCTGGCAGTTCAACTGGATCAGACCGACACTTATCTTCCCTTCAGGAATCCCTGCTTATCCACCAACCCATACCTATCCGACTCATTTTAAAACTAGTCACTGTGAATATTGATTTTAAAAAAACAGGAAATGCTAGAAATGCACAGCTGGTTAAACAACATCTACAGAGAGAGAGAAGCAGAATTAATGTTACACCTCTCCTTTTGAAAGAAAACATAACATTTCAGTCTCATTGTTTTCTCACAGGCTTAGGACTCATTTCTCTCCAACACTTGTCAATGACCTGGAGAGCAAAAGTTGGATTTCCACATCTTCTCGTGCGAATAATGCACAAGTCCAGGTTACGCTACTATGGACGGCCCCAAACAAAGGTGGACTTTCCATATCAGGTTAGTAATCCCATCTGCATTCACTCCCCGATGTTCTGAAGGCTTTGAAATGTCCCTCTCTTTAACTCCTGACCCAGAGCTTTTATGATTTGCACAAGAATTCCAGCATTTATTTTCCACTCTTAAATGGAGGGCATTTTAGAGCCAACCACGTTGCTGTGGGTCTGAAGTCACATGTAGACCAGACTAGGTAAGGATGGCAGTTTCCTTCGCTAAAGGACATAAGCGAACCAGATGGGTTTTTCCTGACAATCAGCAATGGTTTTATCATTAGACCCCTAATTCCAGATATTTGTTGAATTCAAGTTCCACCATCTGCCATGGCAGGATATGAACCCGGGTCCTGAGAACATTGCCAGGTCTCCGGATTAATAGGCCAGCGATAATACCATTAGGCCATCACCTCCCCTGATAAACCATCATTCCCTGACCTTTTAATGTTACTCAGTGTTAAATTTTGCTTTATAACATGAACAAAGTTGCGTTAGTTCAGGCTCTGACCCACAAGCTGTACGCTGGACGTGGAACAGGCAGCTCCCACCACCTTTGGGGTTAATAGGAACTGCTGATGCTGGAGTCTGAGATAACAAGGTGTAGAGCTGGAGGAACACAGCAGGCCAAGCAGCATCAGAGGAGCAGGAAAGCTGACGTTTTGGGTCTGGACCCTTCTTCTGATCCTTTCCTGTTCCTCTGATGCTGCCTGGCCTGCTGTGTTCATCCAGCTCTACAACTTTTTGTCCCACCACCTTTTTAGGGTTTGCAATATTTTCTAATCAGCCTGGTTCAGGCATATTTCTGAAGCAGGTGGGATTCAACCCAGGCCTCCTGGTCGAAAGGTTACATTACCGCAGTGTCACCAGAATCCCCCTAACTGTTAGGATTTCCACCCCCTGGTGAACCATTGGCACCAGTTTGCAATCAAGCTCCCAACTGCATTACAGCAGCTTAATTTAGAAGGACCTGAGGGCATCACAGTGTCTGCCATCGTATTAATGCTGACAGGCACACAAGTACCATGTTGGCATCATGTTAGCATTTAGCCTCTGACCCGCTCCACCCTGTTATGGAGCGATCTGTAGGTTAATGCATAGGTCAGTCAAACCTAAGCAATATATCTCTTCATGCAGTGTCAAGAATTTGTTTTTAATTTATCTTCACTAATATCTGGAGGGATATTTGAACCTCTTATTTGAACTAAACCCTTTGTATTTCCCATTTGTCTTCCTTATAAGCCAGTGGGTTTTGTTTTTGTTCTCTGGATGTGTAATTTTTTGTTTTACGTTTTCCTCTAGTCCCAGAGATGAAGGGTTGTAACGGTGGGGTAAAAGCATATCCATTGTAGAGATGGTGATGCACATCCTGCCCATTGGGCTGTGACTGTGTCTAAGATTTCCTTTTGGCTCTTGCTGTAGGCCTACTTTGAAGTAGCTGATCAGTCGGGTATGATGCCACTGGTCCTGTGGAACTCCTTGTGCCCTGAATGGTACCAGTCCCTGCACGTTGGCACAGTTCTCCTGCTGCACCGGTACTCAGTTAAACAAAGTTACCAGAGGAGAACCTGGGCCACTCCATGTGACCCACAGATAAAGAGCCTTAGAACCATAGGTGAGAGTACCACATTCAGTATTATCTGACGTACATACAGTGTGAATTAAGTATTATTCTCTTACATAGGTATCCCGTATTGTTCGTTCTGTAAGCACAGAAACTACCACATCGATCAGTCAATCAGCCTGAGCACCCAGTAGTATCTGAGCATAAAAGCTACATTACTTTTGTCTTTGATTATGCCTCCCTCCCCACCTCTCTCTCTCTCTCTCTCTCTCTCTCTCTCTCTCCCCCCCCATCGCCCCTCCCTGTTCCTCTCCTCTCCCTCCCCCTCCCCTTCTTCTCTGCCCTGTGCTGCAAATATATAGCCAAATTACTCTCTTTTTAACTTTTATCCAACAGTGTCTCTTGTTTAGCCTTATATTTCTCTGACTCTGGTCCTTGTCTACCATTTTCTGATTTTTTCTGTTTCCTTTCCCTTTTTCTCATTACCTTTCCCCTTTCTCCCTCATTGCACCTCTTGCTTGATCTCTTTCTCTCCTCTCTGTCTATCTCCATCTCTCTTTCTCTAGAATGCCTGAAAAGTCAGTTTCCTAGCAATCCATTTGAATCATGCCATTACATTGATCCTACACCTCACTGTTAAAGTGTTTTTTTTTGTGATGTGTTTATCCAATCTTGTCTTAAATTTCCACTCTTGTCCCCATTTAGATTCTTGTCTGTTTCCATCTCCCTTGAACAGGATTGTACAAACCTCCCTATGAAACAGTACTATGCCGGAGAGAAAGAGGCCATTTGGCCCATTGTGCCTGTGCTAACTGATTGATAGGTTCGTTCAATCCATTCCATGCCCTTGCTAACATATCACCCTCATTTTAATGTGACCACTGAATATTTCAATAACAGACTCCTTTGCCTGCTCTTCTAATAAGACCATAAGATGTAGGAGTAGAATTAGGCCATTCAGCCCATCAATTCTGCTCCAAAAATCAATGAGATCATGGCTGATCTGATAACCCTCAACTCCATTTTCCTGCCTTTTCCCTGTAACCTTTGATTCCCTGATTAAAAATCTGTATGTCTCAGCCTTGGATATGCTTAATGACTGATCCTTGACACTCCTCTGCAGTTAAGAATTCCACAAATTCACTATCCTCTGACAGAATCGTAGAATCCCTGCAGCATGGAAACAGGCCAATCGGCCCAACAAGTCCACACCGACCCTCAGAGCATCCCAGCCAGACCCATCCCTCTATAACCCACCTAATCTACACATCCCTGAACACTACGGGCAATTTAGCATGGCCAAGCTACCTAGCCTGCACATCTTGGGACTGTGGGAGGAAACCGGAGCACTCGGAGGAAACCCACGCAGACCCAGGGAGAATGTGCAAACTCCACACAGACAGTCGCCCGAGGGTGGAATTGAACCTGGGTTCCTGGCACTGTGAGGCAGCAGTGCTAACCACTGAGCCACTGCACCACCCCTAGAAGAAGAAATCGAAGAAATTCTATTTCTTCTCTGTCGTAAATGTGTGACCCCTTATTTTAAGATTATTCTCTCTGGTTCTAACTCTTACAGAAGGTAAAACAACCTTTCCACATCTACTCTGTCACGTCGTCTCAGAGTCGTGTATGGTTCAATAAGGTTCCCTCTTATTCTTCTAAACTCCAATGGGCACAGGCCCAATCTCTCCTCTCCTCATAAAACAGTCACTCCAGCCCTGGTACTACTGAGTGAAGCTCTTCTGAATGACCTCCAATGCCAGTATGTCATTAGGATTATCAAAACTGTTTGAAACAAACATTAATAAAGTAGATGGAGGAGCTTTGTGTAAACATGTTAAGAATCTGAATGCTGATATTAGTATAATTTCCCAAATCTTGGAATGGATAATTACTGCCAATGGAAGCTTCCAGTAGAGAGCTGTGCTGATAGCATGCGTTGGCTATAGAATCAGGCTGCGCTCCCAAAAGAGTATTGGGCTGTCAATTGCCCTGGCTTTGACTCTTAAAATAAAACAAAAAAACTGCAGACGCCACAGATCCAAAAGGAAAAACAGAAATTGCTGGCGAAACTCAGCAGGTCTGTGAGAAGAAAACAGTCAAGTCCAGTGACTCTGCCATCAGAATTCTGAAAAGTCACAAAACTCTGCTTTCTCCCTACAATTGCTGCTAGACCTGCTGACTTTCACCAACAATTTCTGATTTTGTCCCTGGTTTCAAGAATGGCCCAGTGGTAGCAGCCTTGACTCTTGAGTTAGAAGAACCTGGAGCTTGACTCCCACTCATAATACTTCAGTGAATAGGAACAGGATGTGGCTATTTAGCCCATTAACCCTGTTCCACCATTCAGCTCGATCATAGCGAATCATCTATCTCCGTGCCATCTTCCTGTACCATCCCACATTCTCTGATGTTATGCGTCGACTGCGTTGAAACCTACTCTCAAACTGAGCTTCCAAAGCCTTCTGGAGTAGAGAATTCCAAAGATTCATCAGCCTCTGAAGGTAAAGATTCTCACTCATCTCAACGTCCCACCCCATATCCTGGGATTATGTCCACTGGTTTTAGACTCCCTAGTCATCTATTGCACCCCCCACCCCATCCCCTTTACAACTTGTAAGAATTGTGTTAGCTTCACTGAGGTTGCCTCACATTCTTTGGAACTCCAGGAAATGCTGATCAGATTTTGCAACCATTCCTCTTTAGACAATCCCACCATGTCAAGGATTAATGTGGTGAACCTCAATGTTGTTTTCCTCCCTGGCTAGTCTATCCCTCCTTAGTGAAGTACTAAGAGAGAGCTGCACTGTGATAGGAACAATGACTGTCCAGGTCATCTGGTATTGTTTGAGGGGTAGGTATTATGGAAATAATGAATTGTGCCATCTGCATCCACCTGAGAAGAGAAATATCACTTCTGTTTAACAGCCCTTTTGAAAAACAGCACCTTTGGCTGTGTGGAGCTCCCTCAGTGTTGTACTCGAGTATCAGTCTGGGTTTTGACCTCATTGTTTGAAGTGAGACTTGAACCCAGAACCTCCTGACTGAACTGAATGCGCTACCACTTGAATGAAGTCTGATGTACAGTGTCGCAGTCAGGCAGAACCCTAGACAGATAAGCAAAAAGTGGAGGACTGCTGTTGTTTGTTGGTAGTTACGTAAATGCAAAAGTTTGGTCTTTGCCAAGCTATAACTCAACACACAATCAATATTTGTCCCATCAACAAATACCATTCAGATGGATGATCTGATCATTATGTCATTGCTGTTTGTAGGTCCTTCCTGTGTGCAATCCTTGTTCCTATGTAACACCAATGTTTAAAAGGCTGTCTGGCCTTTTACTGCCTGTTTTGGGACAGCCTATAATCATGAAAGGTGCTATATGAATGCAAATTTTGAAGTCAGACATGCTTCTACAGAAAGAGAGAGAGAGTACCTCACATGTTGGTCAAACATTGGCCTTATGGCTGTCTTAGCACCTTGGTTTCAGAGAACCTACAGAAAGCCGATGGGTTTACCCACCCGCTAGCCTCCAGGATGTCTTTTATTTCCGCAGGTTTTCCATTTACTTTCTGCTGGATTTGATTTCAGAGATCTGCCTCAATCCACGAGACCCTCGTGCTGAAATCCAGATTGTACCACCTCAGCAAGTCAAAGCAGAGTGGAGGTTACCTGACATTAAATACAATTTTATCACGAGGTACCGTTCCTGTAAAAGATTCCCTTTGAAATTCATGACCGCTCACCTTGGTAGTTATTGTTAAATGCGTGAAGCCATGACGTGTTTTTATGTTAGTGATAAAGCTTACACTAACTGGCTGCAGCACAGCGTGCAGTGAGGTACACTTACTAAAACCAATTCCTCGTGTACCTGAGTTTGCAGAGCTGGGAATTTAAAAAAAAATTGTTCATTTGTCAGGTGTGAGCCAAATCTATCAAAGTCAAGAGATAGTAGGAACTGCAGATGCTGGATTTCTGAAGAAGGGTCTAGGCACGAAACGTCAGCCTTCCTGCTCCTCTGATGCTGCTTGGCCTGCTGTGTTCATCCAGCTGTACACCTTGTTATCTCTATCAAAGTCAATATTTGTTGCCCGTCCCCAATTCCTATGAGCTGGATTGGCTCTCTAGACCAATTCAGAGGACACGTGTGAGTCAATTCTCTTGCTATGGGTCTGGAGTCACGTAAGACCAAACGATGTAGGAGCATAAATCGGCCATTCAGCCCATCAAGTCTGCTCTGCCTTTCAATGAGATCATGGCTGATCTAATAATCCTCAACTCCACTTTCCTGTCTTTTCCCCATAATTCTTGATTTCCTTATTGATAAACAATCTGTCAATCTCACCTTGAATATACTTAACAGCCCAGCCTTGACAGCCCTCTGGGGCCAAGCATTTCACAGATTCACTACCCTCTGAGAAAAGAAATACCTCGTCACCTCTTGTCTTAAATGTGTGGCTGTTTATCCTGAGATAATACCCTCCGGTCCTACAATCTCTCACAAGGAGAAACTCATCCTTTCTCAAATCTGTCCAGTCCCCTAAGAATCTTGTATGTTTCAAATAGGCCATATCTCCTTCTTCTAAATTCCAACAAGTACAGGCCCAACCTTAACAACCACTCTTTTAAAAAAAGAGTTTTTTAAAATTAATTTGTGGGATGTGGGCATTTATTGCCCATCCCCAGTTGCCCTTGAGAAGGTGGTGGTGAGCTGCCTTCTTGAGCCTCTGCAATCCACATGCTGTGGGTTGACCCACAATGCCCTTAGGGAGGGAGTTACTTGAACCAGTAACAGTGAAGGTGATACGTTTCCAAGTCAGGATGGTGAATGGCTTCGAGGGAAACTTGCAGGTGGTGGTGTTCCCAGGTATCTGTTGCCCATGTCCTTCCAGATGGAAGTGGTCGTGAGTTTGGAAGGTGCTGTGTGAGGATCTTGGGTGAATTTCTGCAGTGCATCTTGTAGATAGTACACACTGCTGCCATTGAGCGTCGGTAGTGGAGGGAGTGGATACTTGTGGATGCAGGCTGCTTTGTCCTGGATGGTGTCAAGTTTTTTGGGTGTTGTTGGAGCTGCACTCATCCAGGCAAGTGGGGAGTATTCCATCACGCTCCTGACTTGTGTCTTATCAATGATGGGCAGGCTTTGGGGAGTCAGGGTGTGAGTTACTTGCTGCAGTATTTTTAACGTCTGACCTGCTCTTGTAGCCGTTGTCTTTATGTGGTGAGTCCAGTTAAGTTTCTGGTCAATGGTAACCCACAGGATGTTGATAGTGGGGGATTCAGTGACGGTAACATCATTGAATGTCAAGGGGTTGTGGTTAGATTGTCTGTTATTGGTGATGGTCATAGCCTGGCATTTGTGTGGCACTAATGTTACTTGCCTCCAGACCTGGTATCGGCTTAGATTCATAGAGTCCTACAGCAGAGAAACACACCCTTTGGAGTAACTTGTCTGCACTGACCAGGCATCCCAATCTGACCTAGTCCCATTTGCCAGCATTTGGCCCATATCCCTCTAAACCCTTCCTACTCATGTACCCATCCAGATGCCTTTTAAATGTTGTAAATGTACCAGCCCCCACCATCCGCTCTGGCAACTCGTTCCATGCACGCATCACCCTCTGCATGAAAGAGTTGCCCCTCAGGTGATTTTTAAATCTTACCCGAATCACCTTAAAGCTATGCCCTCTAGTTTTGACTCCCTTCCCTGGGGAGGAAGACCTTGGCTGTTTTCCCTATCCATGCCCCTCACAATTTTATAAACTCAGCTTCCAATGCTCCAGGGAAAATAGCCCCAGCTTATTCAGCCTTTCCCTATGGCTCCATACCTTGCAGTCCCATCAGTATCCTTGTAAATCTTTTCTGCACCAACTCAGGTCTAACAATATTTTTCCTATAGAAGGGTGAGCAGAATTTTTCACAGTATTTTAAAAGTGGCCTACCCAATGTCCTGTACAGCCACAGCATGACCTCCCAACCCCTATACTCAATGTTCTGACCAATGAATGCAAGCGTACAAAATGCCTTCTTCACCACCCTGTCTGCCTGAAACTCCACTTTCAAGAAACTACGCACCTGCACACCTAGGTCTCTTTGTTTGGCCACACTCCCCAGGGCCTAGCCATTAACTGTATAAGTCCTGCCCTGGTTTGCCTTTCCAAAATGCAATATCTCACATTTATCTAAACTAAACTCCATCTATCACTCCTTGGCCCACTGGCCCATCTGATCACGGTCCCAATGTTCTGCAAGATAACCTTCACTGTCCTCTACACCACCTATTTTGCTGTCATCTGCAAATTTATTAACCATGTTTCCTATATTCACATTCTAATCATTTATATAAATCATGAAACTTATTGGACCAAGCACAGATCCTGTGACACACTATTAGTGAAATTTCTTTGGAGTGCCTCCAATATATTAATCCCAGGGATGAACCTGTATTGCATGCCTTCAATGATACGTACATCCCTCCTTACTCAGCGAACTACTGTAGGAGAGCAGCACTGTCATAGGTGCACTGAGTGGCCGAGTCATCTGTTTTAGGTATTCTTTGAGGGAGCAGAATAAACCAGGAAATGTAGGCTGAACCAGATAGGGATGGCAGATTTCCTTCCCCTAAAGTGCATTAGTTAATTATTTTAATAATAATTGTTGCGGGAACTTAACAGATTTATGAATTGAACTTCAATTCTATTAGCTGCCGTGGTGGGATTTGAACTCTTTGTCTCGAGAGCATTAGCCTGGACCTTTTAATTGCATGTCCAGTGATATTACCACTTCACCACCATCTCCCCATGACACCTGTGACATGTCTTCAGTTTATTCAACAAGCAGCATTTATTTCTTTTGAAATTTCTTCTCCAAGCCTGTTCAGAAAGCCACCTTTCCGGCCTTTGGCGCTTCTCAATCCTGCTGTGAGATTACAGTTTGTCCAGAATTTTAATGGAAGCTATGAACAGCACGTGGACAAGCCTTTTACATGACAGCAACGGGTGGAATATTTAAAGAGCAATGTCTCATTGGTGCCTTATCCTGCTCTCAAGACATCCCAAAATGTTTGGGAGACAGATTTTGGAAAGTTGTAAGGTGTAATAGGATTGTTGTCATGGGTGACTTCAACTTCCCTAATATAGACTGGAACCTCCTAAGTTTGGATGGAGCAGATGTTGTCAGATGTGCCCAGGAAGGATTTCTGACTCAGTATGTAGATAGGCCAACTAAGGGGAGGCCATATTGGATTTGGTGCTTGGCAACAAACCAGGTCAGGTGTCAGATCTCTCGGTGGGAGAGCATTTCGGTGATAGTGATCACAACTCCCTGACCTTTACTATAGTCATGGAGAGGGATAGGAGCAGACGGTATGGGAAAGTATTTAATTGGGGGAGGGGGAATTACAATGCTATTGGGCAAGAACTGCGGAGCATAAATTGGGAACAGATGTTCTCGGGGAAATGCGCGACAGAAATAGGGAACAGTTGCTACAGGTACTGGATAGGTTTGTCCCACCGAGGCAAGGAAAGGATGGTAAGGTGAAGGAACCTTGGATGACAAGACATGTTGAACATCCAGTCAAGAGGAAGAAGGAAGCTTACTTAAGGTTGAGGAAGCAAGGATTGGGCAGGGCTCTAGAAGTCTACAAGGTAGCCAGGAAGGAACTGAAGAATGGACTTAGGAGAACAAGAAGGGGATATGAGAAAAGATTGGCAGGTAGGATCAAGGAAACCCTAAGGCATTCTATGCTTATGTGAGGAACAAGAGGATGGCCAGAGTGAGGGTAGGGCCGATCAGGGATAGTGGAGGGAACTTGTGCGTGGAGTCAGAGGAGGTAGGGGAGGTCCTTAATGAATACTTTGCTTCACCAGTGAGAGGGACCTTGATGTTTGTGAGGACAGCATGAAACAGGCAGATATACTCGAACAGGTTGATGTTAGGAAGGAGGATATGCAAGAGATTTTGAAAAACATGAGGATAGATAAGTCCCCTGGGCCAGACGGGATAGAACAAAACAAAGAAAATTACAGAACAGGAACAGGCCCTTCGGTCCTCCAAGCCTGCGCCGATACAGATCCTCTATCTAAACCTGTCACCTACTTTCCAAGGATCTGTATCCCTCTGCTCCCTGCCCATTCAAGTATCTGTCTAGATACATCTTAAATGACGCTATCCTGCCCGCCTCTACCACCTCCGCTGGCAACGCGTTCCAGGCACCCACCACCCTCCGCGTAAAGAACTTTTCACGCATATCTCCCTTAAACCTATCCCCTCTCATCTTGAAATCGTGACCCCTAGTAATTGGGATGTACCTAAGGTTACTACGGGAAGCGAGGGAAGAGATTGCTTCCCCTTTGGCGATGATTTTTGCGTCCTCACTGTCCACTGGAATAGTGCCAGGTGATTGGAGGGTGGCAAATGTCATTCCCTTGTTCAAGAAAGTGAATAGGGATAATCCTGGAAATTACAGACCGGTCAGTCTTCCTTCTGTGGTGGGCAAGTTATTGGAGAAGATTCTGAGACATAGTATTTATGATTATTTGGAAAAGCACAGTTTGATTAGAAATAGTTAGCATAGCTTTGTGAGGGGCAGGTCATGCCTCACAAGCCTTGTTGAATTCTTTGACAATGTGATAAAACACATCGATGAAGGCAGAGCAGTGGATGTGGTGTATATAGATTTTAGCAAGGCATTTGATAAGGTTCCACATGGTACACTCATTCAGAAAGTAAGGAGGCATGGGATTCAGGGAAATTTGGTTGTCTGGATACAAAACTGGCTATCCAATAGAAGACAGAGGGTGGTAGTAGATGGAAAGTATTCAGCCTGGAGCTCGGTGACCAGTGGTGTTCCACAGGGATCTGTTCTGGCACCTCTGCTCTTTGTGATTTTTATAAATAACTTGGATGAGGAAGTGGAAGGGTGGGTTAGTAAGTTTGCCGATGACACGAAGGTTGTTGGGGTTGTGGACAGCGTGGAGGGCTGCTGTAGGTTGCAACAGGACATTGACAGGATGCAGAGCTGGGCAAAGAAATGGCAGATGGAATTCAACCCTGAAAAGTGTGAAGTGATTCACTTTGAAAGGTCAAATTTGAATGCAGAATACAGGGTTAATGGCAGGATTCTTGGCAGTGTGGAGGAACAGAGAGATCTTGGGGTCCACGTCCTCAGATCCCTCAAAGTTGCTACCCAAGTTGATAGGGTTGTAAAGAAGGCATATGGTATGTTGGCTTTCATTGGCAGGGGAATTGAGTTTAAGAGCCGCGAGGTTATGCTGCAGCTCTATAAAACTCTGGTTAGACCACACTTGGAATATTGTGTTCAGTTCTGGTCACCTCATTTTCGGAAAGATGTGGAAGCTTTGGAGAGGGTGCAGAGGAGATTTACCAGGATGCTGCCTGGACTGGAGGGCAGGTCTTATGAGGAAAGGTTGATGGAGCTAGGGCTTTTTTCATTGGAGCGAAGAAGGATGAGAGGTGACTTGATACAGGTGTACAAGATGATGAGAGGCATAGATACAGTGGATAGTCAGAGACTTTTTCCCAGGGCGGAAATGACTATTACGAGGGGGCATAATTTTAAGGTGATTGGAGGAAGGTATAGGGGAGATATCAGAGGTAGGTTCTTCACACAGAGGGTGGTGGGTGTGTGGAATGCGCTGCCGGTAGTGGTAGTGGAGTCAGATACTTTAAAGGCTTTTAAGTGACTCTTGGATAGGCACATGGAGGATAGTAAAATGTAGGGTAGTTTGATCTTAGTAGGATAATAGGTCAGCACAACATTGTGGGCTGAAGGGCCTGTACTGTTCTATGTTTCACAGCTGTGCATTTTGAAGTCACTTTTGTAACATGGGCAGATTTTTGCAGTTAGTTTGTGAACAGCAAGATCATTCAGGCAGGATACCAGGGAAGCAAACACTCTTATTGTTCCTGGAGATATTGGATCTTCCACACTCTCCTGAACTGGCAGCTGGGGTTGAATACACCCCTGAGTGAAGGGACCTCTGACTTTGCTGCACTAATCTGCCACCCCAGCAGGTTGCTGAGACCCCATACTCTCTGGAATGTGGATTGGAAGTCGTTATTATTCTGGACAAACCTACCTTCCAAAGACTGTCTGCGGCCACCCTCTTCTCCTAAGCTCCCTCACTGTAGTCTCTCCCTTCGTTCTAATCTGCATTCTCGTGCCAGTCCTAGGAATGACATTTGTATGCACTTCAAATCAGAATGAGCAGATTTTTTTTTTTGTTAAGAAGTACAAGTGTTGTTTTTTATTCGTTTGTGGTACATGGGTGTCACTGGCTGGGTCAGCATTTATTGTCCGTCCCTAGTTGCCCTTGAGAAGATGGTGGTGAGCTGCCTTCTTGAACTGCTGCATTCCTCCTGCTGTGGGTCAACCCACGATGTCCTTAGGGAGGGAATTCCAGGATTTTGATCCAGCAACAATGAAGGAACAGCGATATATTTCTAAGTCAGGATGGTGAATGGCTTGGAGGGGAACTTGAAGGTGGTGGTGTTCGCATGTATCTGCTGCCTTGTCCTTCCAGATGAATGTGGTCATGGGTTTGGAAGGTGCTGTCTGAGGGATCTTTGGTGAATTTCTGCAGTGCATCTTGTAGAGAGTTTACACTGTTGCTACTGAGCATCAGTGGTGGAGAGTGTGGATGCTGTTTTTACTGGACTCCTGTTCAGAAAATAAATGCTGTAGGCAAATTCTTTTATGAATCAACTAACTGCACATTTACAATAGCTCAGTATTTGTTTAGTTTGTGGAATGGTCTTGTCAGCAGTTTCACCTTAATTTGTCTTTTCAGGCTAGAGCTGGATAAATTGCCCGAGGGGTTCACATGTGATGTTATTGGACTTGTCATCTTTGTGGGAAGATGTCAGAGAATAAGAAAGGAAGGTAATCTTTTCAAAGTGCTGACAGTGGGAGAAATTCCGCTTCATGACAATACTTAAAAGTCTCTGTTTAACTCTCATCTTTCTTTTACTGTGACACAGACAGTAGTGAGGATTTCTACTCGTACCGCTGGGTGCATGCTATAGATGGTAGCACTGAGCAACCTTTTGTCCTGGAACTTTTTGCAACTTCACAGCCAGAAACCTTTCAACAGATTCATCCAAGTAAGTAATGTTCTGCCTTTTGGTAATTAAACTGCAACTGACTGGAATTAATTAACTCGTTCCAAAATGAGCAACATGCATATTATACATAAGAACTAGGAGCAGGAGTAGGCCGTCCAGCCCTTCGAGCCTGCTCCGCCATTCAATAAGATCATGGCTGATCTTTTCGTGGACTCAGATCCACTTACCCGCGTTCTCACCGTATCCCTTAATTCCTTTATTATTCAAAAAAAATCTACCTTATCTTTAAAAACGTTTACTGAAGTAGCGTCAACTACTTCACTGGGCAAGGAATTCCACAGATTAACAACCCTCTGGGTGAAGAAATCCCTTCTCAGTTCAGTCCTAAATCTGCTCCCTCTAATCTTGAGGCTATGCCCTCTTGTCCTAGCTTCACCTGCCAGTGGAAACATCCTCTCTACTTCCATCTTATCTATTCCCTTCATAATTTTATATGTTTCTATAAGATCCCCCTCAATCTTCTGAATTCCGATGAATATAATCCCAATCTACTCAGTCTCTCCTCATAAGCCAACCCCCTCAACTCCGGAATCACCCTAGTGAACCTCCTTTGCACCCCCTCCAGTGCCAGTACATCCTTTCTCAAGTAAGTACATTGCCTATAACAGTAACTAGCAGTACTTTTAATAACAATTTGTACACATTTGAGAGCAAATATTACAGAAATTGGAAATAAGAATGCTGGAAATACTCAACTGATCCAAGTAGCCTCTGTAGAAAGAGAAATAGACGAGATGGGTTATATCTTACCGGAAATAGCGTACTTTTCGGTGAGTTTCATGGAAGGTTTTTCTCTCTTCAAGGCCTAGTGAGTTTTCCCATGTCAAAATTGTCCCAAATTTGTCTCATTACCTGTGCCCCACGCCTAAATAGCACCAGGCTCATCCAACACTACCTGATTCTCTCATTCACTGTAGCAGAAGGACTCATTACTGCCAGGATGTCCTGGGATCCCTGGCACCAGTGCCATCTGTAAAAAGCCATCATGTGTTCAGTCTGGAGCTGCCCTGCATAGTCCCTGTGAACTGTCTTGGAAGCGACCAAGAAAGGTAAATTCACAAACCCATTTTTTAGACAGGCACTTGGAGGAGCTGGTGGTGCAGGGGAGCAAGTGTCTCTTCCCATTGTCACTAGACCATAGACCATTCAACTTCCTTTTGCCAGCAAAACGTTCATCTAGGAACTCCCTTGACTTAAAATCTTGAGCTTCAATTGCTACTCGTTCAAACAATTGTTTACACACTGCCTGGCACAGGTGTCTAGTTCCGAGATTTCAAAACATGCATCACCCTTGCCAGAACTCTTTTTTCTTTTTAAAAACAATTCTTTCTTACTTTAATGCACAGTTTGGTTTTGAAAAACAGAAGTTAAAAAGACGCCCTCCTTACACTTTTCTAAACTGTTTGTTCCGTTGCTGGAGAGTTAGCAGCTAAACTTAACTCTGCTGATCATGTGGCCTTTAAAACTAGCATTGATGTCAGTTTAGAGAAAGCCACCTCCTTCAGCATTAACAATTGAGATCTTAAATGTCCCCTCCTGTTGATGTAACATATCAACTGGCACCATTTCAAAGAGGAACACTGTTGCTTTCCAGGCTGAAATTACAGATTGCCCAGTCATTACCACGTCAGGGATGGTGGGAGTATGTTGTGTGTACGTGGTATTGCTTTTCTATCTTCACAATGCCCCCCACCAACATTCATTTTAAGCTGTGTGCACGGGCAGCCACTCCAATGTTCCACGCTTGGTAATTAATGTCAGCGTGTCAATTGAGCATTGACTTCTGGATCCAGACGTTGCTGCTGCGCATGGGTCTCAGGTCTGAGCGCCCAGTCTGAAAATTCGAGCGAACACTGCTCCCCATGCTTCGGGATGCCCCAAAAGGCTGTGCGATGGAAATGACTCTCCTTACAGACAATACTTTTCTTTGCAGTGACTTACTTGGTGTGTACCCAGATGAGGGTGGTTCGAGAATTACGACCCAGTGGAGTGATGTTGAATGTTCCCTACCTCACCACCTCCAATGAAAGTCAGATCTTTATCTCAGGTGGGTTCCCTGCACTTCCCACTCTGTGCGCGTGTGTGAGAAACTTCCACCATTTCCTGGTGTGTCCCTTTGGCCTGGCAGTTGTACTCAAGGAGGCTGTTTGCATGCCACCATCAATACCTTCTCGAGGGAGGTTAAAGATAGTCAAGGGAGTGGGAACCAGAGCAGTAGGTCAGCGAGTAAAGTGACCGAAGAGGAGTCTGAGACTTGGGCCAGTAAGACTAAGAGGAAGAACAGGCAGGGAGAGGTTACTGAACATGGTGGGAATGGCAGTCTGAGATGTTTTCACACAAGGTGTATGACTGATGAGGCAGATGAACTTACAGCTTGGATGAGTACATGTAACTATGATGTTATAGCTATTACAGAGACTTGACTGAGAGAGGGACAGGACTGTCAGCTTAATATTCCTGGATTTAGATGTTTCATGTGAGATGGAGAGGGATGCAAAAGAGGTGGGAGAGTTGCATTACTGATTAGGGAGAATATCGCAGCTGTACCGAGGGGGAATACCTTTGGAGAGCTCATCCAGTGAGAGCATACGGGTAAAGCTGTAGAATAGGAAGGGTGCCTTTACTTTGATGGGGTTGTACTTCAGTCTCCCAACAACCTGCAGGAGCTAGAGGAACAGGTATGTGGACATATCGTTGAAAAATGTAAAAACAACAGGGTTGTAGTGGTCAGTGACCTTAACTTCCCCTATATTGACTGCGACTTGCTGTGTGTGAAAAGCTTGGGTGGGATTAGGTGTGTCCAGGATGGTTTTTTGAAACAATATGTGAATAGCCCAACTCAAGAAGGGGCCATACTGGACCTGGTTTTGGAGAATGAGCCTGGCTATGTGATCAAAGTTTCAGTGGGAGAGCATTTTGGGAACATTGACCATAATTCTGTAAGTTCTAAGTTACTTATGGATAAGGAAAAGCGTAGTCCTCGGGTGAAAGTATTAAATTGGGGAAAGGCTAACTACCACAATATTAGAAGTCACACAACACTTGGTTATAGTCTAACAGGTTTATTTGAAATCACAAGCTTTTAGAACGCAGCTCTTTTTTCAGGTGAAGTGAAGGGAAGCGCAAAGGCATAGAATTTATAGGCGGAGAGATCACTGCAAGATAATTCCAGGTAATTTAGATTGTCAAAAGATAGTACAAATGGTATGAGTGGAATGTCAACAGGCTGAATAACAAGTCTTTGCAGGTGATCCAAAGTGTCAAGCGATATGAGTAAAGTGTCAACAGCTGAATAGCTAGTGAAGGGATGACCTAAGATCTAATTAATTAAGGCAGAGAGATCATTACAAAAAAAAAATCAAAAATAAGCTGGTGTTAGAGACAAACCAAATGACTGGAATAACATGTTGTAATAACATCCTATCTTTTGACAATCTTACCTGGAATTACCTTGCAATGATCTCTCCACCTATAAATTCTGTGCCTGTGCGCTCCCCTCCACTTCACCTGACGAAGGAGCAGCACTCCGAAAGCTTATGATTTCAAGTAAATCTGTTGGACTAAAATCTGGTGTCCTGTGACTTCTGACTTTGTCCACCCCAGTCCAATACCGTCACCTCCACATCATGGCTACCACAATAATAGCCAGGAACTTGGGAATGTAGACTGGGGGCGGCTGCTTAAGGGTAAATTTACATTGGTCATGTAGGAATCTTTGAAAGGTCAGTTAATTAGAGTTCAGGACCAGCATGCTCCTCTGAAAATGAAGGATAAGGATGGCAAGACTCAGGAACCTTGGATGACAAGAGAAATTGAAAGTTTAGTCAAAAAGAAAGAAGGCTGCGTAAAGTATAGGAAACTGAAGACAGACAAAGACCTCAAATTGAAAGCGAACAGGAAAGGATTCAAACAAGGAATTAGGAAGGTTAAAAAGGGCCATAAAATGTCTTTGGCAAACAGGATTAAGGACAATCCCAAAGTATTTTACACAGGGAAAGGGTAGGTCTACACAAGGTCAAGAGTGGACCCGGAAGAAGTGGGCGAGGTCCTCAACAAATACTTTGCATCAGTATTCATAAAGGAGAAGGACATAGTGAATGGTAAGTCTCGAGAGGGGTATGTTGATATTCTAGGGCTTGTCAATATAAAAATGCTGTTGGGTGTTTTGAAAAGCATTGAGGTAGACAAGTCCCCAGGATCTGATGGGATCTATACCAGAATTCTGAGGGACACCTGAGGGCCTTGTATGAAATCTTTGTATCTTCTTTAGTCTCAAGAGAGGCCCTGGAGGGCTGAAGGATAGCCAATGTCCTTCCTTTGTTTAAAAAGGACAACAGGAATAATCCAGGAAATTATAGGCTTGTGAGGTTTACGTGAGTGATAGGGAAATTATTGGAGAAGGTTCTTAAGGAGAGGATTTACTCACATTTGGAAAAATTCATGACAGGCAGCATGGCTTTGTGTGGTGGAGGTTTTGTCTCTCAAACTTGATGGAGTTTTATTGAGGAAGGGTCAAAGATGATTGATAAGGCAGAGCAGTGGATGTTGTCTACGTGGACTTTAGCTCGGCCTTTGACAAGGTCCCTCATGGCAGGCTGAACAAAAGGTGAAGTCATTTGGGATCTGCGATGAGCTGGTAAAATGGATACTGAACTCACTTAGTCTTGAAAGAGTAGTGGTGGAAGAGTGTTTCTTAGTCTGGAAATCTGTCACTCGTGGTGTTCCACAAGGATCAGTGCTGGGACCCCTGTTGTTTGTGATATATATACATAAATGATTTGAAGGAGGATCTAGTTGGCTGCTTAGGAAGTCTGCAGATGACACACAGATTTCTGGAGCTGCAGATAGTAGGAGGATTGCCAGAGGATACAGTGGGATATAGATTGGTTGAAGACATGGGTGGAGAAATGGCTGATGGAGTTTAATCTGAACAAATGCAAGGTGATGCATGTTGTGAGATCGAATGCAGGAGGGAAGTTTACAGTAAATGACAGAACCTTTCATAGCATCAGCATATAGAAGGATCTAGGTGAGCAGGTCCACAGTTCCCTGAAAGTGGCAACACAAGTGGATAAGGTGGTCCAGAAGGCATATCGCAAGTTTGCCTTGATCAGTTGGGGCATAGAGTATAAAAACTGGCAAGTCATGTTGCAGCTTTAAAGAACTTTAGTTAGGCTACATTTGGAGTATTGTGTACAGTTCTGGTTGCTACACTGTCAGAAGGATGTTGAAACTTTGGACAGGCTACAGAAACTGTCTACCAGAATATTGCCTGGTTTGGAGGGTATCCATTATGAGGAGAAATTGGATAAACTTGGTTTGTTTTCACTTGAACATTGAAGGATCAGGAATGACCTGATAGAAGTTTCCAAAATTATGAGAGACATGGATAGACTGGAACGTTGGAGTCTTTTTTTCCCAGGTTAGAAATATCAATTACTAGGGGACGTAGGTTTACGGTAAAAGGGGTAAAATTTAAAGGAGATGTGTGAGGCAAGTTGTTTTACACAGAGGGTGATAAGTGCCTGGAACGTGCTGCCAGAGGAGGTGGTGGAGGCAATGGTTAAGAGGTATCTCGACAGATACATGAATATGCAGGGAATAGAGGATACAGACCGCACAGAGGCCAAAGGTTTTTAGTTGAGAAAGGCATCATGTGTCAACACAAGCTTGGTGGGCCAAAGGGCCTGTTCCTGTGCTGCGCTGGTCTTTGCTCTTTGTTCTAATAAATTTTGGCCTCCTCAGTGATGCCCGCATTCTCGGACTGAACAAACAAAAAAGAACCGAGATGCTACCACAAGTGTATTTTAATGCTATTAAGTCCTTCACACAAAGTGCCATATGTGAATTTCACGGAAACGCTTAGCACAAAAGGAGGCCATTTGTCCCTTTGCGGCTATGCTGGCACTTGGAGAGAGCCACCCAATTGGTCCCATTTCCCCTTCCCGTCCCTTGTGTCCATCTGAATGTTCTATTTTGAGATACTTATCCAACACCCTTTTGAAAGTTACCAATGATTGCATTCTCAGCCATAACAATTCATGGTCCTAAAAACAAATTGTCCTCATTTCATTTCCTTTCCAATTCCCTTTAGTCTGGTGTGTCCAGTTCTGGTCATCCTGTTCAAGGAAGGACATTATTAAGCTGGAGAGACTTAGAAAGAAATTTACCAAGACATTGCCAGGAATGGAGGGTTTGAGTTAAAAAAAAAAAAGCAGCTGGATAGACTGGGACTTTTTTCACTGGAACGTAAGAGGTTGAGGGGTGACTTTATAGAGGTCTATTATATCATAAGGGGTATAGATAAGGTGACTGGCAGGTGTCTTTTCCCTGGGGTAGGGGATTTTAAGACTAGGGGACGTATTTTTAAGGTGAGGGGAGAAAGTTTTAAAAATGATATGAGAGGAAACCTTTTCTACAAAGGGAGTAGTTCGTGTGTGCAATGAACTGCCAGAGGAAGTGATGGGTACAAGTACAGTTACAACATCTAAAAGACATTTGGATAAGTACATGAATAAGAAATGTTTGGACGGATATGGGCCAAGTGCAGGCAGGTGGGACGAGTTTATTTGAGGATTATGGTCAGCATGGACTGGTTGGGCCGAAGGGTCTGTTTCCACGCAGTATGACTGTTGGATTCTAGTGATGTTGGGATTTCAATAAATCGAGATTAGCACGGTGATGAGAACAAAGAGCCGGTGTGTACGCTTTCCTCTTCCATTCTGCTTTGCTGTTGTAAAGATGAAATTTGCTCATCACTCTTTAGCAAATGTGAAACCTGCCAATAGCTGTGTTGTCTTTAAACTGTGACTCAGCTGTCTTTATTATTCTGCAGTGTTAACTGTTTCAATCAACCCCATTTCAGTGTTACATTATACTGTCCTCTTCAGCTTAGAAAGTGCAGCTTATGTGTATTAAAAATAAACTGCAGCGCATGAATAGAACCCTGTAATTTAATCCTGGTATTCAAATGACTCACAAGTCATTTGGGCTTCCTTCCCACTGCTGTGAGGCCATGTTGTCATTTGAAACCTGGAGTATAAATTATAAATGAACTATTCCCATTCTTCATAATGTTTATAATTCCAAAAGGCTCAGCAATGATGTTTCAAACTATGAAATGCACCAGTAAAGGTGACTTTAAGGATGAGTCATTTTTGCTTACAGTTTAATTTACTTTGGTGAACCCAAGTAATTGTGGATGGATAACTGTCCATGGTTAATTATCTCCTTCGCTGCCTGCCCACTCTCATTTCTCATTTACAATTTGCTCTGTGGTGATATCATCTGAAAACGCAGTGTCCGTTTCCATGTGAACGACGTCCAACTCAACCTCACTAAATCCTCCCTCTTCGTCTCCATGGTTTCCAACTTATCAAATTATTTGTCTGATATCCAGCAGTGGACGAGTTGAAATTTGTTCCAATTCATTCTCGAGAAGACTAGAGATGCTTTAAAGTCCTTTCTTCACGACACCAGGTGTGAACTCAGTGGAGACGTAACAACACAAAAGGAGACCATTCATCCCATTGTGCCTGTGCTGGTACTTGGAAGAGTTGACCGATTGGTCCCATTTCCCCTTCTCTTTCTCTGCATCCCTGTGAGTTTGAAGTATTTATCCAAAACTGTTTAGAATGCTATCAATGAATCTTCTCCCACTGCCTTTTGAGGCAGTGTATTCCAGATATAACAATTTACGGCCCACCAATAAATTCCCCTCAGCTTCCCTTCTGTTCTTTAGCCAGCTGGCTTTGGTCCCTGCGACAAACACTGAACTCCCATCTCCATCTCTCTCCTTGACAACCACGGCTGAGGTTGATTGCTCACAAACCTGTCATCAGATTTGATCCCAAGATAAACCCTACACTTAAAATATCCTTTGATGTGGGCTTCCCTGGAAAGGTGATTATGACAATGGGCTGTCATTGCAAGATCACCATTTCCACCTCCACAAGGTGTGTGTGGAGTGCCAGGTGAGTGAAGTGCTGTGGGGATGTAGGAGTATAAAGTGTCGGGTGGTTGGGGATACAATACCAGGTAGGTGGGGTGCCAAGTGGATAAGGTAGTGAGCTGGCAGGCAAGTGCAGGAAACTGGGTGATGGATGGGTGAGGTGGCAAAGGTGCCAAGTGCATTGAGAGAGGGTGGCAGGCAAGCAGGTGTGTGTTTAGGGCGTGCATGGGGTAGGGATTGGGTCAGGCGAGGGAGTTGAGCTGTCAGGATGGGTCTGGGCGAGATTTGGTGTTGTGGATCGTGGGACCTGGGGACGGGGGCCCAGTCCTGAGGGAATTGTGTCAGGATTCATGGTAAAGAGTGATGGCATTGGGTATGGGTCAGGGGCATCATTCTTGCAGTTAGCCAGGTGTAAAGCAGCTTTTAACCCTCTAACATTTCCTGGCGAACTATTCCGAAAAGTCAGTCGCAAACATCCAAAGGAGGAGGCGACTTTTTCAGGGGGTTGCAGATGCCAAGTAATTGCCCATCCAAAGTTTTGATGTCAGGTTCCTGGGCACCTCCCACGCGGTCAATGCGTTGGGACTTCTGCATGCTTTTAATGTACATCTTCCAGGCCTCCCATTATCTGGAGATCTGGGTGACTAGCTAACTGTCTACACCATCAAAACCCTTCATAATTTTGACCAACTTCTTTTAAATTTCCTTTCTTTGTTTCTGTTTCTGCAGTCTCTTTTCAAAACTGAAGTCCCTCATTGCTGTAGTAACCGTCTGTGCTTCATCGTGACAAAGGGCTATAAGCAAACAGGAAGGGAGTGCAAGTTAGGGGGAGGCGATGGCCTGTTGGGATCATCACTGGATTTTTTGTTTATTCATTCACGGGATGAGGGCGTTGTTGTCCAGGCAGCATTTATTGCCCATCCCTAATTGCCCAGAGGGCAGTTCAGAGTCAACCACATTGCTGTGGGTCTGGAGTCACATGTAGGTCAGACCAGGTAAGGATGGCAGTTTCCTTCCCTAAAGGACTTTAGTGAACCAAATAGGTTTTTCCCAACAATCGACAATGGATTGAAGGTCATCATTAGATTCTAATTCCAGACATTTTTATTGAATTCAAATTCACTATCTGCCGTGGCGGCATTTGAATCCGGGTCCCCGGAACATTATCTGGGTCTCTGGATTAACAGTCCAGCGATAATACCACTAGGTCATTGCCTTCCCTACATAGATCTGGGTGATGTTCTAGGGTCCCCAGTCAAATTCTGCCATGGTAAATGGTGCAATTTAAATTTGCATTATCCGATGACCGTGAAACCATTTTCAATTGTCAGGAAAAACCCATCTGGCTCACTAATATCATTTAGGGAAGGAAAGCTGTCATCCTTCCCCTGGTCTGGCCTTTACGTGACTCCAGTTCCACGCCAATGTGGTTGACTTTTAACTGCCCTCTGGGCAATTTAGAGATAAATGAAATGAATGTTGGACCAGCCAGTGAGACCCATATCCCGTGAATGAACTAAAGTGGTTAGCACTGCTGCTTCACAGTGCCAGGCACCTGGGTTTGATTCTTTGGGCTGTGTGGAGTTTGGATGTCCTCCCTGTGTTTGCATGCGTTTCCTCCGGGTGCTCCGGTTTCCTTCCAAAGTCCAAAGATGTGCCGATTTGGTGGATTAGCCATGGGAAATTTCCCAAAATGTACAGGGATGTGCAGCTGAGGTGGATTAGCCATGGGAAATGCAGGGTAACAGGGAAAGGATGGGGTGTGGGTCTGGGTGGGATGTTCTTCGGAGGATCAGTGTGGACTCAATGGGCGGTGAATGGCCTGTTTCCACACTGTAGGAATTCTACGATTCTATAAATTAGAAAAAAAAGTGATTGAATAGCTCCTTCAAAGAACTAACATTGTTACAATGGACTGAACTCTTTGGCACATGGTGGTGCTGAGATAATGAACCTGTTTGTTCAGCACAGTGACCTCGTGATGATGTGAGTGTTAAAGCTGCTTGTTAATAATGGCTGTACAGTGACAAGTACTGTTATGACACTGATCTCCTAATGCTTATTCTCATGGCAATCTCTCCTGATGTTCATTTCCAGGGTATCACAAAGGTCAGCCGTACACAAAGGACCCAAAAGTACAGGGCTTCATCCAGTGGGTAAAAGGGCAGCGTGAGAACGATGTGATGAAGCGGTCTGTAATCGGTGGTTACTATTCCTTCCCTCCGGCCCCGAACCTATTTCAGGAATACTGTAAAAATTTGGATGGTAAGAATCGTATTGGACTTGCTGCACCTAGAAATCCTCCATGGTTTCTCTGACCTCCTGTCAAAATAATGAACCCTATAAAGGAAAATGGCATGAAGCCGAGATTACGCATTGTGTGCGAAGCAGAACGTCTGTTTGGGCTGCTTTGTGTGCTGTCAATCCCCCTTTCCACGTGTCCTCCTGCTGAGTCCATTTCTAGGGTGAGACATTAAAATGAGGCCCCCTCTGTCTTTTCGAGGGGGTGTAAAAGCCCCCAAAGGAGTTGCCCCTGGTGTCCTGACCAATGTTTATCCCTCAACCAATACCACAAAAAAATGCCAGATTATCTGGGTATAGTCTCGTTAATGTCTGTGGGAGCTTGCTGTCTACAAATTGACCTACTGTGTTTCAGAGTGCTTCAATGGCTGTTCAGTGCTTTGGAACTTTCTAGGGTCATAAATGTTGGTATATAAATGCAAATCCTGCCTTTCTTTACACAAGAGGATGACCTTGACCCCCAGATAGGGGTTTGTGAAGGAAAGCAGAATGCCCTGCGATTTCCAACTAGTTGTATTCAGCTTTCAGAGTCTTTGGCAGAGGGTGACCGAGAGCAAACACTGGGTTAAGTGCAGGGCTATCTCTACATCGATTTGGGCTGGCTGAGTGCTGAACATTGCAGTGCTCGGAGCTATGACTGCATCAGACTGATGCAAACATGTGCAGCTTCCCAAGAGCACCGTATGTCTTTATAAACGCAGTTGCTACAAGAGCAGGTCAGAGGCTAAGAATACTGTGACAAGAACTCACCTCCTGACTCCCCAAAGCCTGTCCACCATGTACAAGGCACAAGTCAGGAATGTGATGGAATACTCCCCACTTGCCTGGATGAGTGCAGCTCCAACAACATTTAAGAAGCTTGACACCATCCAGGACAAAGCAGCCGCTTGATTGGCTCCACATCCGCAAACATCCACTCTCTCCACTGCCAACGCTCAGTAACAACGATGCGCAGTATCTACAAGGCGTACTGCAGAAATTCACCAAATATCCTTAGGCAGCACCTTCCAAACCCATGGCCACTTCCATCTAGAAAGACATGGGCAGCAGACACGTGGGAACACCGCCACCTGCAAGTTACTCTCCAGTGCCACTCACCATCCTGACTTGGAAATATATCGCCGTTCCTTCACTGTCGCCGGGTCAAAATCCTGGAATTCCCTCCCTAAGGGCATTGTGGGTCAATTCACAGCAGGAGGACTGCAGTTGTTCAAGAAGGCAGCTGAGCACCACCTTCTTGAGGGCAACTAGGGACGGGCAATAAATACTGACCAAGCCAGTTACAACAACATCCCACAAATAAGTAAATTAACAAAGAAATTCCTTAGCCATTTTTTTTTTGAAATTAATACCCAGGCTGTGAGCATTGCTGGCAAAGCCAACATTGAGTCAACCTCCTAAACTGCGCTTTGAGAATCAGGTGGTGAACTGCCTCCTTGATTGGCTTGCCAGGCCCTTTCTGAGGGCAATTGAAAGTCAACCACCTTGCTGTGGATCTGGAGTCACTTGTAGGCCGGACGTGACAAGTAAGGTAGCTTTCCTTCTTGAAAAAATTTCAGGTAACCAGGTAAGGTTTTGTGCCAACATGTAATATTCTGTGGGTACAATTACTGTCACTAATGGTTTATTCCAGATTTATCTAATAAATTGAATTTAAATTCCCCCAGCTGTCATGCTGTTTCGAGTCTCCAGATTATTGATCTAGTCCTCTGGAATGCTAAAATAATGCTGGAAATTCTCAGCAAAACTGGCAGCATTATTGACGAGAGGTACACAGTCAACATTTTCTCTGGATTACTGGTCTGGTCATATAAGCATTATGTTACCATTTCCATTTATCATTCATATAAAAGTGTTCACTGGTGTAGTCACATACATTTTGCAAATGTATCATCTTTGACAGATAGATCCTTGATAGGAAACCTAAATGAATCCTGTCAGTTACAGAAAACTGTAACTGCTTTAAAACAGCAGAAAGCTTGGATATGGCCTTGCGGCAGATTATGTTTTACTTATTTATTTTATGAAGTGTTAGGCTGTTGTTGGTTTAATCTCATATCTGTAATGGATTTTAATTCTCCAGCTGAGGCTCTCTTGACCTCCACCAGTGAACTGAAGAAGGAGATTGAAAGTTTGCATTATAGAGAGCATAAGAGGTTTATACTTCAGGGAATCATCGTTGCTGTTGAATACATCTGTCACACAGATCTGGCTGCGAGATTGAAAGCGTTCCCTGTGCAGGTATGATTAGCTCAATGCTGAAGCCTGGATCAGTACTTACCAGGTGGTTTTACTTGTAACCACTGGAGACAATCATGTCCTTGAAATCTGCAACCTAGCTTCTTTTGCTGTGACCATTTATTCTTTCACTGAATGTGCCCATCACTAACATGTGTAGTCAAGCCCTAACTGCCCATGAGATAATGATGGCAGAGAAGAGATGCCGCAACCCCATCTGGTGTAGGTAGATCCCAGATGCTGTTCGGGACGGCATTCCAGTGACGCTGAAGGAACAGCTATATATTTCCAAGTCAGAACGGTGAATGGCTTGGAGGGGACTTGCAGGAGATGATTTCCTATGTATCTGCTGCCTTTGCCTTTCTAGCTAGTAGAGGTCATGGGTTTGGAAGGTGCTGTTGAAAGGACCATAATGAGTAGTTGCAGTGTGGCTTATAGATGGTACATATGCCTGCCACTATATGTCAGTAGAATGTAGTGCCAATCAAGTGAGCTGCTTTGTCCTGGATGATGTTGACTTCTTTGAGTGCTATTGATGCTGTACCCTTCCAGGGAAGCAGACAATATTCCATCATACTCTTGACTTGTGCCTTGTAAATGTGGTACAGGATTTGGGGAGTCAGTTACTCACTGCAGAATTCCCACTTCTGATTTGTTCTGGCAACCACAGCTGATCTAGTTCAATGACTACCTCAAAGATATTGATAGTTTAAGGTCTCGGAGACGGTAGTGCTATTGAATGTCGAAGAGAGATGACTAGATTCTGTCTTGTTTGAGATGATCATTCCTGGCAATTCTGTGATACAAATGTTACTGACCACCAGTCAGTCTGAGTCTGAATATTGTCCAGGAGTTGTGAATGTTGTCAAACATTGCACAATCCCTGAAGTTGCTGTTGTCACCATGAGTGGACTTGTCAGCAATTAAACCTGTGTTATTCGTCATGCTAACTTTTATCTCTATTCAGTTAAAAGTTTTTCATATTATATTATATTATTATTTCATATTTCATACATTTTGGTAGGAGTAATAGTAAAAAGGTTTATTACTTGAATGGTAAAAAGTTGCAGCATGCTGCTATGCAGAGGGACCTGGGTGTCCTTGTGCATGAATCACAGAAGGTAGGTCTGCAGGTACAACAAGTAATTAGGAAGGCAAATGGAATTTTGCCCTTCATTGCTAAAGGGATTGAAATTAAAAGCAGAGAGGTTATGTTGCAGATGTACAAGGTGCTAGTGAGGCCACACCTGGAGTACTGTGTGCAGTTTTGGTCTCCTTACTTGAGAAAGGATGTATTGGCACTGGAGGGAGTGCAAAGGAGGTTCACTAGGTTGATTCCGGAGTTGAGGGGGTTGGCTTATGAGGAGAGACTGAGTAGATTGGGATTATATTCATTGAAATTCAGAAGATTGAGGGGGGGATCTTATAGAAACATATAAAGTTATGAAGGGAATAGATAAGATGGAAGTAGAGAGGATGTTTCCACGAGCAGGTGAAGCTAGGACAAGAGGGCATAGCCTCAAGATTAGAGGGAGCAGATTTAGGACTGAATTGAGAAGAGATTTCTTCAGCCAGAGTGTTGTTAATCTATGGAATTCCTTGCCCAGTGAAGTAGTTGACGCTACTTCAGTAAACGTTTTTAAAAAAAAAGGTAGTTTTTTTTGAACAATAAAGGAATTAAGGGATACGGTGAAAACGCGGGTGAGTGGATCTGAGTCCATGAAAAGATCAGCCATGATCTTATTGAATGGCGGACAGGCTCGAAGGGCCAGACGGCCTACTCCTGCTCCTAGTTATTATGTTCTTATTATGTCCTTAACACACACCCTCATAAATTAACATTACTTCTCTGACACATTTCAAGGCAGTGTTTATAATGAGTGAACCTGATATTGATACTCAACGTTATATGTTGGGAAAGGCAAGTGAAACTCATTACAAGTCACACTGCAAATAGGGAACTCACTGACCAGTTCCTTTCACCAACATTCCCTTCTCATTGTGATTCATAGTGACCACATCTGTAGCAAGTGTTGGTTCCTTGAGGAACTCTGGCCCAGAGTCTGAGCTTTGAACACTGTGACACTTCAGGGAGGGGGAGAGTCACCTGAATGCAGTCATATCCCTTCGATTAATGACCTCGAATTTGGTCAGTGGTCAGGGACAGGAGGGTGTGACTGTGGGCGGGGCAGGTGGAGGGATCCAGGAGGCAGTGCTGATGGAAGCTCAGCTCTTAAGTGTCTCTAACAGGTTTGAGAATCTTCCTCCCTGCGTGGATGAGAGTGGGGTCTGCAGGGAAGATGAGCAAACTGACCATAGCACTGTAGTACAGGAAGCCATTCAAGAGAGGATAGAAAAGAGAAATGTAGTTGTAATTGGGGACATATAAGTCAAGGAAGGTCAGGAGAATAGACACTGTTATGCATGGCCAGGATCAAGAGTACTGAAGGCTGCTTTGCCTGCCTGGTGCCTGGGTTCAGGATATCTCAAACACAAGCAAAAACAGAAGTTGCTGGAAAAGGTCAGCAGGTCTGGCAGCATTTATGAAGGAAAAGTCAGAGTTAACATTTCGGGTCCAGTGACCCTTCCTCGGAATTACAAATCTACTCGAACCTTAGAGGCTGTTAAGTAGATAAGAGGCCATAGTGTTATGGGCAAGGTACTGGCGAGGATAGATGATTGGCTGACTGGCAGAGGGTAGGGATAGATATGTCTTTTTCAGTTTGGCAAATGAGAGACTAGTGGAGTTCTGCAAGGGTTTCTGTCGGACCACAGCTATTCACATTAACAATTTGGACAAAGGAACTGAGGGCATTGTTGCTAAGTTTGCAGATGATACAAGGATAGGTGGAGGGACAGGTAGTGTTGAGGCAGCTGAGAGACTGTAAAAGGACTTGGACAGACTGGGAGAGTGGGCAAAGAAGTGGCAGATGGGGTACAATGTGGGGAAGTATGAAGTTTTGCACTTTGGTAGGAAGAATAGAGGTGTAGATTGTTTTCTAAATGTGGAAAGGCTTCATAAATCTGAAGCACAAAGGGACTTGGGAGTCCTAGTTCAAGATTCTCTTAAGGTTAACCTACAGGTTCAGTTGTCAGTGAGGAAGGCAAATGTAATGTTGGCATTCACTTCAAGACAGCTGGAATACAAGAGCAGAGAGGTACTGCTGAGGCTGTATAAGGCTGTGGTCAGAATGCATTTGGAATATTGTGAGCAATTTTGGGCCCCATATTGAAGGAAAGATATTCAGGCGTTGGAGGGGGTCCAGAGGAGGTTTACAAAAATAATCCTGAGAATGAAGGCTTGTCATATGATGAGTGGTTGAGGACTCTAGGTCTGTACTTGATGGAGTTTACAAGGAGGGGTGGCGGGTTGGGGGGCTATCTGACTGAAATACAGAATACTGAGAGCCCTGGATAGAATGGAAGTGGAGAACGTGTTTCCACTGATAGGAGAGACTGAGACCCAAGGGCACAGCTTCAGAGTGAAGGGTTGACCCTTTAGAACAGAAATGAAGGGGAATTTCTTCAACTGGAGGATCGTTAATCTGTGGAACTCATTGCTGCAGAGGGCTGTGGAGGCCAAGTCATTGAGCGTATTTAAAACAGGGATAGATAGATTCTTCATTGAAAAGGGGATCAAGGGGACATGACCGGAGAATGGGGTTGAAAAACATATCAGCCATGATTGAAGGGTGGAACACACTCAAAGGGCTGAATGGCCTCATTCTGCTCCTGTACCTTATTGTCTCTCACCATTTCAAGTGTTTTCCACCAATTTTCAGATTTTCTGATCTACCACGATCCCCTGTATTCATTAAATTCACTGCCTGTCTGTTACTGTAGGATGCCCTTGCCTGTCATCCTGCACAGTCTGCCTGATCTGTTCGGAATCTAACACTGGCACCTACTTGTTTAAGATCCTTTATAACATTCCTCTTGCGTTTGAACCCCATTGTCCTGAGAAACTGTTGCTGAAGTTGAGCGGTTAGGCAGATGACCTTAAATTTCACTCAAACATGGAGAAACTCGGCAGCTCTGGCAGCACCTGTGGAACGAGAAACAGAGGTAACATTTTGAGTCCAGTTCAGAAGAAGACCCAAAATGTTAACTTCCATTTTTCTTTCTCCACAGAAACAGAGTTTCTCCAGCGTTTTCGGTGTTAATTTCAGTTTTCCAGTGTCTGCAGTATTTGCTTTAAATAAATTCATCGCAAACAAAGAACTCAAGACAGACTGGCCTTGCCTTTGTAGGAAGTTGACGCTTTTGTGGGCTCGTCTTCGCAACCCATCAGACATCTGGACAGCCCAGAGAAAGACACCAGGGTCACCCGGCAAACAGAGCAGCTATGTGTAAATCCAGCAAGGCGTCATCAGAGACAGTCAACACCAGTGTTTAACCGCTACTCATTGAGGTATTGTACCAGACAGCCTGCTCAGGAGCTGTGAACAGGTTGGATGCTATGATATTGAGTCTGGAATGAAGGCACACAGTTTAACAGTAAGGGGTATCCCACTTCAGACCGGGAAGTGGATTATTTTCTCTCTCTCTCTCTCTGTGTCCCAAGAGTAGGGCAGCACGGTGGCTCAGTGGTTAGCACTGCTGCCTGACAGCACCAGGGACCAGGGTTGATTCAACCCTCGCGTGACTGTGCAAACTCCACAGATATATTCTCCCCATGTCTGCGTGCATGGCCTCCCACAGTCCAAAGATATGCTAGCTAGGTGGATTAGACACTGGAAATGCAGAGTTACAGGAATAGGGTAGAGGATTGAGTCTGGGTGGGATGCTCTTCGGAGGGTCAGTGTGGACTCGATGGGCTAAATGCAACACTGTCATTATTTGATACTGTTAGTTTAGTGGAATTCACTTCCCCAGAGAGCAGTGGAGGTTGCATCATTGAAGATATTCAAGGCTGAATGGTTTGGATTTTTGACTGAGGGGCCATTCCAGGGACAGACAAGAAAATGGTGTTGAGGCCACAATCAGATCAAATACGTTCAGATTGAATGATGAAGCAGGCTCAAGGGGCTGAACGGCCGACTCCTGTCCCAAATTCTAGTGTCCTTGGGGAGGATGGCGTGTTAAAGATACTGCACGTACCAGAGGAGATGGGGCTTTGGGCTCCAGCGGTCTCACATTGACGACATACACTCACACCACACCAATGGAGAGCGTCTCCTTGCCAAGACAGCTACAGGGATCCAAACTGGACTAAAGTGAGGGAGGTCTGAACTGGCATCTCATGAGACAAGACCAGAGCACACGACTCAACTGAAGCACAATTTGACTACAACCTTCAAAAGTTTAAGATTTTTCGATGTAATTTGTTTTTAATTGGAAGACCTTATTCAACTGTATTTAAATTTACATGTAGCCCAGAGTTAGGGACGTTACTATTATGCAATGAGACCCTCAGTAACATTTACAGTAATGTTAATCAACCTATTTGGACGTGTTTTAACACACCACTGGGGCAGGTCATGTTCTGTTGACTGAAGTTCTTCTTCAACCTTTCATTTTCCTTCTTGTGAGCCAAGCCACTACAAGCTTTATTAAGTTTTGTGAGTCACTATCTCGTGGAAATGATCAAAGGCATCCTGAAGTCTAATTGGCTTGTTACGGCCACTGAATCCCTTCAGTGTGGAAACAGGCTATTAAGTCTGCACTCACTCTTCCACCCAGATTCACCCCCTACCCTATCCCTGCAGGCCTGCGTATCCCACGGCTCATCCACACATCCCTGGACACTATGGGCAATTTGGCATGGCTAATCTACTTAGCCTGCACATCTTTGGACTGTGGGAGACAACCCACACAGACAAGGGGAGAACATACAAACTCCACACAGACAGTCACCCAAAGGTGGAATTGAACCCGGGCCTCTGGCACTGTGAGGCAGCAGTGCTAACCACTGAGCCACCGTGCCACCTCATTTTAACATATGAACAATTCATGGCTGGTCTCGGATTGACTACGTAGTGTGTACCCAATTGCTGAATGGTTTCTTTAAAGTAGTAGTTATCTTACTAATATTATTTACAACTATCTCGTGATTCACTCTTTAATGCCCATCATTTTGTAAAATCATCTCTATCTCTCTTGGTTTTCCAACTCCATTGATCTTTATTGACATTCTATGTGTCAGCTTAGAATATGTAGCATCATCTACTAGCGATTAATTACCATCCCAAATGTCCCAATTGATAGATCTAAGAACACCTAAGACTGTAAAGCACGCAGTCAAACCTAATTCCAAAGTGTGTTTTTATGTATATGTATATACATGCATATGAACCCATATGCCTGTTACAAATGCTATTATAAATCTAAACTGTTGTAAAACATGGCTGCCTTTAAGTAAAAACCATTTTACTCCAAAGCATTTTCACGTGTTAGCCTAAGAATACATTGGCCTGAATCCTAAACTAACAATAATATCATGAAATATTTTACCTTACTCTTGACCAAGGCTACATAATTATTTTCCTTAAAGAATGTGTTTTACAACTAAACATGCTCAAACTGAACATAATTTAATTCCTCACTTGCCTAATCAAATTGAAATTATGAATTCCTTTATTCATTAATGGGATGAGGGCATCGCTGGCTAGGCAGCGTTTATTGCCCATCCCTAATTGCCCAGAGAGCTGTTCAGAGTCACCAACATTGCTTCGGGTCTGGAGTCACATGTAGGCCAGACCAGGTAAGGATGGCAATTTCCTTCCCTAAAGGACATCAGTGAACGAAATAGGTTTTCATGACAATTGACAATGGATTCATGGTCATCATTAGATTCTTAATTCCAGATATTTTATTGAATTTAAATTCCACCGTCTGCCATGGCGGGGTTCGAACCTGGGTCCCCAGAATGTTATCTGGATCTCTGGATTAACAGTCTAGTGATAATACCACTAGGCCATTGCCTCCCCCAAAAAACTTTCAGTCTTACACAAAGCATATAGTTATGTTACCTTGCCCAAGTGGGGTTGGTTAGTTCAGGTGACTGGATAGCTGGTTTGCGATGCGCAATGATGTGGGTTTAATTCCTGCATGGGCTGACTTTACCAGGAAGGACTCTCCTTCTCAACCTGTGCCCTCACCTGAGGCATAGTGACCCTCCGGTTAAGTCACCAGTTGTCCCTAATGAGAGGGCAGCCCTATCATCCAGTAGGCCTGTGGCAACTTCACCTTTACTCGCCCGTGCTGTAATTCTAACATGGGTTAATCCTGTTCCCCAGTCTTAACATGGCTCATTTAATAAGTGCAAATGAAAATGCATTCTGACAGGCTTTTTTCCAAGTGTGAAAGAGGTGTAAACAAATAGGCAATATCTACGTTCATCTTTAGTATAAACAGATATTTTGATTGAATCAAAATGACTTATTCTTGTGAGACTGTCTTTCTTTCACCCTTGAGACTAAACTGAAAGTCAACTTAGGCTCAACTTATGTTGCCAATTCTCCTGATAATAGCCTGGAAACTCCAGGAATTGCAGATCAGTCCCTGCTGGAAGCAAACCCTGGGGAGAAACAGTTAGGGCAGCTGAAATATGTGCGGGTTTTATGTTTCCATTTATTGATTATGTTTGTGATTTGTTTTTGACTGGCACAGACTTGATGGGCTGAAGAGCCTTTTTCTGTGCTGTAGACCCCAATGATTCATTGAAGGTGTAAGAAGGAGATTTGTTCCTACCCACTGAGCCATGTTGCAATATAAGACTTTGCCCAGTTCTAGTTAGGTTTCCCAGTGATTCAAGCTGATGTTAGCTAACTCTATTGAAATATCAAAATATTTTCTGATGCTGAAGTTTAGAGAAATTAAAGTAAAATTTACTAAATTGAAGATGGTCAGCAAAACAATGTTTTTATTGTCTTAAAAGGCAATGGAGGTCTTTGCTTTGTAATAGCTTCTTGTGCAGAGAGCAGTGGAGCCAGGGATATATCTTAAGGCTGCATAATATAGATACTCAATTGACAAGGAGTCAAGAGGCATTGGGGGTATGCAGGTACGTAGAGTCTAGGATAAATCAAATCAAAGATGATCTTATCAGATAGTGGAGTAGGCTCGAAAGACCAAATGGCCTACATCTACCCAATTCATATAGTCCTTGAATATTGTTTCATACCAATCTGCTATATTCTGTGCCAGTATTACAAGAATTATGAAACTGACCATGGGACTGAATGCTGATACGTCCATCTTTTTTAGACATCGGTATCCATTGAGAGACTTACAGAAGACTTGTCGCAAATGGCAAGTTCACAAACCACTCGGGTGTGCTTACACACCATTCATTGCTAGCCTTCTCTCTAGTCTTGTTCTACACGATTGCTTTTGGGACAGTGGAGGCAAGATTGCACTGGGAAACTAATGTGTAAAGTTTTTGAGAAGGTTTGTAGCTCGGGTTGTGGATGAGGTTGTAGACTTGCTCGCTGAGCTGGTGTGTTTGATTGCGGATATTTCATCACCCTGCTAGGTGACATCGTCAGTGCGCCTCCGGTGAAGCATTGGTGTTCTGTCCCGCTTGTTATTTATCTGCCTCGATTTGCTGGGGTGGTCGGTATTACTTCCGGTTCTGTTTCTCAGTGGTTTGTAAATGGGGTCCAGTTCAGTGTGTTTGTTGAGTTCCGGTTGGAATGCCAGGCCTCCAGGAATTCCCTGGCATGTCTCTGTTTGGCTCATGCTATTATGGATGTGTTGTCCCAGTCAAATTCGCGTCCTTCTTTGTCTCTGCGTGTTGAGACCAATGAGAATTGGTCGTGTCCCTTGGTGGCTAGTTGGTGTTCGTGTCAGTTTTCGTACAGTTTGGCCTATGTAGTGTTTCTCACAGTCCTTGCATGGTATTTTGTTTATTACGTTAGTTTTATTGGCTGTGGGTATGGGATCCTTTAGTTTATCAGTAGCTGTCACGAGTCTAGGCCCGAAACGTCAGCCTTCCTGCTCCTCTGATGCTGCTTGGCCTGCTGTGTTCATCCAGCTCTACATCTTGTTATCACAGGTTTGTGGGCTACCCTGATACCTAGGGGTCTGAGTAGCCTTGTAGTCATCTCTGATACGTCTCTGGTGTACGGTAGGGTGTCTGGCCGTGTTGTGTCTTCTTGTTGTGGTCTGTCACGGAGGTAATGGCGGATTGTGCTTTTTAGGTATCCATTCCTTTTAAAAACTCCGTATAAGTGCTCCTGTTCTGGTTTGGGCAATTCGGAGTTGATTTTTTAACAGAATGGATACCCAAAAAGCACAATCTGCCATTACCTCTGCAACAGACCACAACACGGCCAGACACACTAGTCACCCTACCGTACATTAGAGACATATCAGAGATGACCACAAGACTACTCGGGCCCCTGGTATCAGGGTAGCCCACAAACCAACAACCACCCTGCAACAGCTACTGATCAATGTAAAGGACCCCATACCCACAACCAATAAAACTAATGGAATATACAAAATGCCATGCAAACTGGAAGAAAACTGACAATAAGGATACATGAACACCAACTAGCCACCAAGAAACATGACCAATTCTTAGTGGACCCAATAAACACGAATTTGACCTGGACAACACATCCATAATAGCACAAGCCAAACAGAGACATGCCAGGGAATTCCTGGAGGCCTGGCATTACAACCAGAACTCCATCAACAAACACATTGAACTGGACCCGATATACAAACCACTGATAAACAGAACAGGAAGTGATGCCAACCACCCCAGCAAACCGAGGCATATAAATAACAAGCCGGACAGAACACCGGAGGCGCACTAACGATGTCACCTAGCAGGGTGATAAAACCTTTGCAACCAAACACATCAGCTTGGCGAGCAAGTCTACAACCTCAAACTAATGTTGTTCTTGTTATCCATCAAACCAAGGAAGAAGTTGTCAAATCCACCAATGGGCATGCTGAAGAAGAAAAGGAAGATGAGCCAACAGAGGGTCCTGTCACCAAAAAGGTTTGTTCACTGGTAGCATCATAAACACGAGCCAATGTAACACTACTCACAGTCCAAAGGCACTAATCATTGAAGTGCAGAGAGCTTGTGCTAAGGCCTGTAACTTCTATCTCCTTCCCAAAATCCACAAACCTGAATGCCCTGGTCGACCCATTGTCTCCGCCTGCTCCTGCCCCACCGAACTTATCTGCAACTATCTGGACTCCATTTTCTCTCCCTTGGTCCAGGAACTCCCTACCTATGTCCGTGACACCACCCACGCCCTCCACCTCCTCCAGAACTTCCAATTCCCCGGTCCCCAACACCTCATCTTCACCATGGACGTCCAGTCCCTATACACCTGCATTCCCCATAGAGATGGCCTAAAGGCCCTCCGCTTCTTCCTGTCCCGCAGGCCCGACCAGTCCCCCTCCACTGACACCCTCATCCGCTTAGCCGAACTCGTCCTCACCCTCAACAACTTCTCTTTTAATTCCTCCCACTTCTTACAGACAAAGGGGGTGGCCATGGGTACCCGCATGGGCCCAAGCTACACCTGCCTCTTTGTAGGTTACGTGGAACAATCCCTCTTCCGTACCTACACTGGCCCTAAACGCCACCTCTTCCTCCGTTACATTGATGACTGTATTGGCGCCGCCTCGTGCTCCCACGAGGAGCTCGAAAAGTTCATCCACTTCACCAACACCTTCCACCCCAACCTTAAGTTTACCTGGACCTTCTCTAATACCTCTCTCTCCTTCCTGGACCTCTCTGTCTCCATCTCGGACAACCACCTAGAAACCGATATTCATTTCAAGCCCACTGACTCCCACAGCTACCTAGAATACTCCTCCTCCCACCCACCTTCCTGCAAAAATGCCATCCCCTATTCCCAATTCCTTCGCCTCCGCCGCATCTGCTCCCAGGATGAGGCGTTCCACTCCCATACATCTCAGTTGTCCTTGTTTCTCAAGGACCGTAACTTCCCCCCTTCATCGGTCGAGAACGCCCTCAACCGTGTCTCCCACATTTCCCGCAACTCATCCCTCACACCCCGTCCACGCAATAAGAACCAAAAAAGAATCCCCCTCGTCCTCACGTACCACCCCACCAACCTCCGGATCCAATGCATCATCCTCCGACACTTCCACCATCTGCAATCCGACCCCACCACCAAAGACATCTTTCCCTCCCCACCCTTATCTGCTTTCCGGAAGGACCACTCTCTCCGTGACTCCCTTGTCCGCTCCACATCCCCTCCAGCCCCACCACACCCGGCACTTTTCCCTGCAACCGCAGGAAGTGCTACACCTGCCCCCATACCTCCTCCCTCACCCCCATCCCAGGCCCCAAGAAGACTTTCCACATCAAGCAGATGTTCACCTGCACATCTGCCAATGTGGTATACTGCATCCGCTGTACCCGTTGTGGCCTCCTCTACATCGGGGAAACCAAGCGGAGGCTCGGGGACCGCTTTGCAGAACACCTTCGCTTGGTTCGCACTAAACAACTGCACCTCCCAGTCGCGAACCATTTCAACTCCCCCTCCCATTCCTCAGACGACATGTCCATCCTGGGCCACCTGCAGTGCCACAACGATGCCACCCGAAGGTTGCACGAACAGCAAATCATATTCCGCTTGGGAACCCTGCAGCCCAATGGTATCAATGTGATTTCACGAGCTTCAAAATCTCCCCTCCCCCTACCGCATCCCAAAACCAGTCCAGCTCATCCCCGCCTCCTTAACCTGTTCTTCCTCCCAACTATCCCCTCCTCCCACCTCAAGCCGCACCCCCATCTCCTACCTACTAACCTCATCCCACCCCCGTGACCTGTCCGTCCTCCCTGGACTGACCTATCCCCTCCCTAACTCTCCACCTACACTCACCTTTACTGGCTCCATCCCCGCCTCTTCGACCTGTTTGTTTCCTCTCCACTTATCCTCTCCTCTATCCATCTTCTATCCGCCTCCCCCTCTCCCTGTTTATTTCAGAACCCCCTTCCCCTCCCCCATTTCTGAAGAAGGGTCTAGGCCCGAAACATCAGCCTTTCTGCTCCTATGATGCTGCTTAGCCTGCTGTGTTCATCCAGCTCTGCACCTTGTTGTCTCGGATTCTCCAGCATCTGCAGTTCCTACTATCCCAGGGTTCTAATTAGGATGATCGGCCATGATCATACTGAATAGAGGAGCAGGCTCAAAGGGCCGAATGGCCTACTCCTGCTGCTATTTTCTGTGAAGCCACAAAGGAAACAACAGGGCAGGATACCTTCCAAGTTTAAATGCGCTTGGTCACAGCCACTGTTTGAAATGATTTTGATTTGAGTCAAGTGCTCTTCAGAGCCCTACAAGGGTTGGAAGCAAATTGAAATTCTACCTTGTTGCAGCAAATGTACCAAAAAAAATCACCAACTCTTCAGACAACTCCCTCTTAAAGTTCTTGTGATATTTATCAGCCATCCTGACAGCAAGGAAGAGCTAGCCCCATTTCTTTGGATCTGGAGTCAAATGTAGACCATACTGCTTAAGGGCATTAGTGCAGCAGATAGGTTTTTAACAACAAATTGACAACTTTGTACTGTTGCCTGCTTTCAATTTCAAGAAAATCTGGAACAGAATTCTCCTTTTCCAACTGCACATTTGGATCCGAACAGCAGTTACATAGTCTATTAGTCTGCCACGTTGGACTATGAGCCAAATAATAGCATCAGCCCATACGCAAGACCAAATGCAATCCTCCCAGCATTAGTAGGCACCCAACAGATTGCTTTGACAAGCACAAAAGGCCCAGAATAGATATGAACAGTAAACATTTTAAAAAAAAAAAAAGCATCAACCTAATTAGCTTAATGTGTTTGTTGGTCAGAGAAATTAATGCAAAGATCGATGAGATTGAAATTGGAAGAATTTGTTTGCCACAAACTGTCTGGACCTGACTCTTAACAGAGGTAATGCTGTAGTGATTAATTGAGCGTATAATCCATGCTGACAACCAGTGTGATATTGAGAGAGTGCAGTGTTATTGAAGGTGTCATTATTCAATTGAAATGCTTAATTGAGAATGTTGGCTGCCTAATCCATTATTTCAGGTGAATGTTAAAATCCGAGAGCAACTCAGGGGGTAAAAAAGGGACTATCTTCTCCCTTGACTGTCACTTCCCCAAAATTTACTGCTCAGCCATTTCCTGCTGGAATCTTGCAAAGTTCACAATGCCTGCCTGCATAGATACTGGCCAAGAGGTTAATGACTGCGCTCAAAGTAACTGCATATCTGTGAGATGGTTCTGAGCCTTACAATGGGCTTTGTCAGTTAGATAATAGCTGTTCACAAAAGGAATTGAGGGTGACAGGAAGAAGTGCAGGAAGCAGTGACATTGTGGTTATGCCACTGGATTCATTTCCCAAGGTTAAAAACAACAAATACCAGAGAAACTCGGCAGGTCTGGCAGCATCTGTAGGGAGAGAAACAGAGTTAATGTTTCAGTCCCCTCGGTTGGAACGCCAGAGCTAGTCTTCCAGAGGTTCAGGAGAACAGTACGGGGGCATGTGGCAGCTGGTGGGATGAATTGAAACAAAATCTGGAATATATAAAGCTAGTCTCGGGAAGGGTGACAATGAAACCATCAGCATTCATTGTAAAAATCTATCTAGTTCACTAATGTCCTTACCTCACCTGGCCTGCACGTGACTCCAGACTTGCAGCAATATGCTTGACTCTCAACTCAGGGTAATAAAGGATGGGCAACAAATGTTGGCCTTGCCAGCGATGCCCACATCCCAACAAAGAATACAATAAATGATTTATAAAGGCAAGGAGTTTGGTTATCTGTGTCAGGTCACGGCATTACTAGAATCCAGGCTGGGAGGCTGTATGCTGTGTGGGACGCTTGACAGACTGGAATTGTTATCCTTTTGAATTGAAGTTCTGGAGAATACTTTGCTAAAGATTTATAATCCTTGCCAGGATTGAAAAAGTAAAATGTAGCACGTTACTTTCAGGATACCAGAAGCAAAGGATAATGCTTCCACTGAGCTGTCAGTGGAAGGAACCTTTACTGAGCTTGTTCTGTGATAAATACAGTGCATGTGCAGCTGGTGAAGAAGAATGATTTTGAAAGTTTACGAGACTAAATTTTAATGGGTTGACTGGCCACAGCTTGAGACAAACTTTAGATGGACTTATAGGAGGGTTTTATTTTCGCAGAGAGGGTGAGCCGCAGCTGGAAAGAACTGTAGGGGAAGAGTGATTGAGGCAGGACAATAAATTCCTCAAGGAACGGCGTAGGAATTTAGCAGAATTGGTCATTGAGAAGGATGAAAACAAAGAGCTCAGGATGGCCAATTTCAACAATAGATCCTGTAAGAGGCATTTCTAGATCACAGGGCTCCCAAGGTGACCAAAGCAGATTGTGATATTCTGATGTTTATATGAATGGATGATTTTTATTTTTTTGCAAATGTGAATAATTTTATTGTCATAAGGTTTTACAGTGAGAAAAACAGTAAAATATAGTGAGAAGCTTTTCCACTGTCGCCATGACTTAATGCCATTTTTTGAATAGTTTAAGAATGAGAAAAAGAATTACAACATTTTAAAGGCGTCTGGATGGCTATATGAATAGGAAGGGTTCAGGGAGATTTGGACCAAATGCTGGCAAACGGGACGAGAATTATATAGGATATCTGGGCGGCATAGACGAGTTGGACCGAAGGGTCTGTTTCCGTGCTGTATATCTCTATGGCCCTATGACTTTATACAGCTCAAGAGAGACCATCAATCCTGAGACAGCCCATCATTAGTGACTTAGTCGGAGTTCCTGGTCAAATGTCTTCAGAGAAATTCTTAACAGTGTTTATTTCTTGGTAAATTTGTCAGTCAATGACTCGGTTTATGTGACATGTGCGTGCTTTGTTGAATAGCATGGGTCTGATGCCTGACAGGCTGTGAAGGTGTCTTTAACTCTAACAGTTCCCTTGCCTCGGAGTTGGAAGGTTATAGGTTGGAACTGCAGTCTGAAACATG